TGAGGCACGTGAGACAGGGGAGAGGAAGAGAGGCTGAGAGCTGTGGGGGGCAGAGGCAGAGGATGAAACACGTGGACAGGTGAAGGACGAAAATAACTTCATTCCAAGGTGATGGCAAAGGTGGATGGTGAAGCGAGCGAGGCACACCCGGCAAGAGTCAGCAGAGGTGTGGATGGGCGGGGGTGGAGTGAGCAGGGAGGAGAGGGAGGAGAGGAAGAGCAACGGTGGTGCGGGCAGGGAGGGGAGCGGGAAACGGAGTGAGCAGGGAGGCGTGAGAGAGGAGGGTGTGGAGTGAGCAGGGGGGGGCGAGGGCGAGAGGAGCAGACCTTGCCCGAGGTGAGGTCGAGTAGCAATGCTTCGGGGTCGTCCCCCACCACTGACACGAGCGTGCTGTCCGGTGCCACTGCCGTGTGCTGGTGGGCAGTGGGAGAGGGGGGCGCGCGGGATGGAGGAGGGAGAACGAGAGGTGAGAGGTGAGAGACGAAAGGTGAGAGGTGGGAGATGAGAGCAGTAGATGAGCAGCTGAGAGGGACATGCGAGACAAAGATGAGTGGGCGGGGCTCACATTGACGGGCCAGGGGAAGGCGTGGCTCACATTGACGGGCCAAGGGAAGGCTTGGCGGGAGAGGATGGAGAAGGTGGCGATGTCGAAGTCCCTCACCACACAGTCGTTGTTGGACGTGAGCACACTCAGTGCTCCACTGCGGGCGAGCAAAAGGCGGAAGGGGCGAGAGAGACAGGAAACAAGCAAGAGAGTGGAGAAAATCGAGAGAGGGGGAGTGGCACAAGGAAGAATTGATGACAGGAGAGGCTAGAATGGCAGGAATGGCCTGTTGAATCTGAAGATCTCAACAGCGTTCGTGATGGCACTCTCATCCCGGGATAACCTTTGACGGGCCTCAAAACCCCTCCCTTCGCACCTGTTAGCTCTGAAGATCTCAACAGCGTTCGTGATGGCACTCTCATCCCGGGATAACCTTTGACGGGCCTCAAAACCCCTCCCTTCGCACCTGTTAGATCTGAAGATCTCAACAGCGTTCGTGATGGCACTCTCATCCCGGGATAACCTTTGACGGGCCTCAAAACCCCTCCCTTCGCACCTGTTTGATCTGAAGATCTCAACAGCGTTCGTGATGGCACTCTCATCCCGGAATAACCTTTGACGGGCCTCAAAACCCCTCCCTTCGCACCTGTTAGATCTGAAGATCTCAACAGCGTTCGTGATGGCACTCTGATCCCGGGATACCCGCCCTGTGAACGCCACTCCTGCTTCCGACCCCGAGCCTGCGTCCGCTTCCGAGCCTGTGCCGAGCCTGGTGCAGACCATCTCCCCGTGAAAGCCCCCTGCTACGAGCAGCCCGTGTCTGACGCACATGGTGCTCACTTGTACCCGATCCACCGCCTCCCACACCCCCTCCTGCTGCTGCTGCTGCTGCTGCTGTTGAGAAAGCGCCAGTCCCCCTGCCTCTCTCCCCAGCACCGCTCTGCCCTCCTCTGTACCGCTGCTACTGCTGTTGCTTCTCCCAGCAGCAGCGGAGCCTGCAGCGGAGGGCATGGCTCCCGTGTAAATCGCCCGCGCAGAAGGCTCCAGCTGCACTCCGCTGCGCTGATCCCCCCTGCCTACTGCACCCCCCGCGCCCCCTGCGCCCCGCGCGCCAGCTGTGGGCGCGTGGGCGTGCGGGGGGGCGTGGCGCCTGGCGACGAGGGGGTTTCCGAGGTCCAGGACCGGGGTGGACTTGCGCGTGAGCGGGGAGAAGTGGTTGATGACGTGGTGGTGCAGCGAGTACACGTCATGCGCTGACGTGGCCCACACGAGGTTGCGCAGCTGGAAGTGCACGATGGTGGACTTGACTGCGCGCGTGTTGTGCGTGAACTCGTAGAAATTGCTGCCCGTCGTCACCTGCTGCACTTCCTGGGAGAATTGACAGGCAAGACGGGGGGTAAGGCAGGAAAGAAGGAGCCAGAGAGGGAGAGGGGAAGGGGTGAGGAGGAAGAAGAGGGGACGGAGAAAGAAGAGGGGTAAATTGAGGAGGCCGAGTGTGACTTGGCCATATCGTGGAGGGTGGAGGGTGAGGCAAGATGCGGGATAAGGCAGGCAGAAGAAGGGGTGAGAAGGGAACGGGGCTGGGGAGGGAGAAGGAGGAGGGAAACCGAAGGAAGAGAAGAAGTGCAAAACGAGGAGGAGATGAATGAAACGGAGAATCGAGGACGCCTGACACTTGCTCTCGTGATGACGCATGTGCGCGCACATAAACACTGCGCGCACCTTATCAACAACATCCAATGACACGTCGAGGTTCTTGTAGTTCTTGTACTGCTGCAGCCGCATCGCGCGGTACTTCTCCCGACTCAGGTGCAGCCGCTCCCACGGAATCCCCTGAATGTCCCGCCCCCGCCGCACCTGCCGCGCGCTCACGTCCTCCGGGCCTTCCAGCTGGCATCAGGGTGAAACAGGGTGCGACAGGAGACAAGGGGAGGTGGGGGGAAGGAAAAGGGATCTTGTTTAGTCGAAGAAGAAGCAGGACGCGCGGCGACGGGGAATGGCGCAGCGACCTGACCTAATCTGAGTCAGGCTGGCGACGAAACTGACGGAATTTGTGATTGTCGCACGCGAAGGCGGCTGGATGAACACGCCACGCAACAATTAACCGATGATCCGGAGACCTACGAGATCATTATCGTCGTCGGAGTTGTCTTGAAACGACCGGGTACCGCCTCGCTGGCTGCCTCGTCGGCGCCATGAGAATCCGAAGTCGTCGTCGCCTCGAATGCTCTCCTCGTCGTCGTCTCCGTCGTCGTCGTCGCTCGCTGCGAGAGACTCGTCCGTGTCGTAATACACCTGCCGCTGCTCCTGATCGCCACCGGCGGGACCCGCATCGTAGTAGACTCGGCGCTGATGTGTACGAGTATAGCCGGCATTCGAGTTCTCGTGCTGCTCCGTGTAGCGATAGTCGGAGTTCGTGTTCTCGTGCTGTTCGGTGTGGCAAAAGTCGCCGTCCGTGTCCTCCTGCTGTTCCGTGTAGCGAGTGTCGGCGTCTGCGACTTCGTGCTGCTCCGCCATGTCCGTGTCGCTCGCATCGCCCATCAGCTGATGCCAGGGAGCGTACGGAGAATAAAGCGCGGGAAAATGAACGGAGTGGAAAAGAGATGACGACAAGCGCGTAAAGAGATTCACTTGAAGTCAACGAGGAAGAGAGAATGACATGATGCTCGATATGACAGTAAACGTCGTATAGTAGTGTGGTAACTAGCGAATAAGATTTTGAGAGCCATAAGAACCAGCGGAATGCACCAACCTCGAAGTCATCCATCTCAGGCATCACTCCGTCTATTCGCCTCCCTCTTGGATTCCACAATATCGCATACAACCAGAGATTAGATAAGATGCGGAACTATTAAAACGTCGATATTCAAGAATCCGGCCTTGCGCCGAACTATTATTCTCGACAGCTGAGAGAACTACGAGACCCTTTAGCTACTTTCCTTGCTAAGGGGGCTTCCGTGGTGAATGCTTCCGTCACTTCTACGTTATCTCCTAGAAGCTGCAATTTTGGCTGGGATGCTCACTGCTCAGATGCTCAGAATGAGGTTGCGACACAGGGGAGTTTTTCTACCTCGAAATCCTACTTAACCGTCTTGAAAGCTAAAAATGACAATTTAAACGCAACGTTAACTCTCTGAACCCCACACCATGAAAATTCTAGGTTTGGTCCGTTTCACTCACTGTTGCACGCCTCAACACCAGAACATGGGAAAACCAGTGTGCAGGAAGGGAAGGACGGAACGACAGGACGGACGGGACGGAACGAGGCATACGACTGGATCCATGCGATGCGATGTGCTTTGTCGCACATAGGGCTTTGTCAGAAGTGAGGCCCTGGGCGAACGAGAAGTTCGCATCACAGCACCCTGGGCCATGCGACCAGACCGTTTGTCGCTGGGGAATGCACGGTTCATCGACAAAAGGAGAGTACATCGGACGGTTTCAGTCTGCTCTGGGATCTGCAATGCTCTCCTCCTCACTGCCATGGAGGGTGGTGGCGAGGCGTTGTCGTATTGTTGACCTGCAAATTCGCATCCCGTGGGATTGACCCTTTCATGATTGCCGAAGCTACACCGTTCAGTACAACGTAATATTTTGCTACGTCAGCACTACCACTTTATCCAGATTTCTACAAGCGAGAATTTGCACCTCGATGACACCTTGGGAACACCCTCCAACACCTTGGGATACCCCTGCTCAATCAAGCTCCACGCTGCATGCCTCGAGTCAGGAATTTCAGGCACATTTCAAGCATTTCAGGTTCAGGCCATAACGACGAGGCTGATTGAAAGGCTCCACCAGTGCTCCTCTCCTTTCATCAGTCATTCCTGCGCCGGATTCTGGTCGTCCCACATTCGATCGCCTTTTCTACCTTCGTCGGTTTGTTTCCAGGGCATATTCCCCGTGCTTCCGACGGATTGACAGAATGCCTACTCGTAGTAGCAAGAAGGTCAAGGAGAAAGGCATACCTCCCAAGCATTCGATGTCGCCTCGTCAATTCGCCGCGTTGACCGCCATATGCGACACGCTCGTATCCTCCATGCCGGTTCCGACGGATTCCGACGACCCGTATTTCCAGCTCGTCGGGAAGCGAAAGGAAGGCTCGCAGTCGTCTAGCCAATGGAGCGAGTTTTACGGCGAGCCGCGGAAGGAAGCCATCGCGGCGTACTTCGCGGAATCCGCGTCTAGCCTCGGCATCGTCGACAAGGTTCGTCGGCCCGTTGGTAGCATCCTCTCGCGCTCGCCTGCCATTCGTTCAGCATTCTGATCCAACGGCCCTCCGTCCGGTCCTATTCCGAGAGCGTCCCCTCGTTGGTCCGTGCAACCTGTGCACGCGTAGCGGCGGGTCGCGCGCTATCATGCTCTCCATCCCTTGCCTTTTCGTTCCCTTGGCACCTCCTCGTCTCCGTCGCCGTGGCTGCTTCCCTTCCGTGCAGGAGGCCGCGAAAATGCAGCAATGGCAGAAGCCGCTGGCCCTTCGCGTCTTCACCTCCGTGAAGGCATCACGCCTTCGCTCGCTCCATTCCACTGCTCTGGCTCCTTTCCACTCGCCTTTGTGAAGGCATCTCAATACTCGCCAACTTTGCCGCCCCTTCGTTCAGGTGGCCACGACAATGCAGCAGTGCGTGAAACCCCTGCCTCTGGCCGTCTTCAGCACGGTCCTATGGCTGCTCTCCACGCGCCTCGGCACGCTGCTGCTGGCCGGCCGCAGGGCCTTCACCCGGCGGCCGCCGTTCGTGCAGCCCTTCGCGAAGCTGTCGCCGCAGGCTCGCGAGGCCGTGCTGCTGCGGTGGTCCGTGAGCAGCAACTTCCTGCTGCGCACCGTGTTCAAGGTGGGGAGTAGGGGAGGGGGTTGGCGAAGGCGGATGGTGACAGTGAGAGGGAGAGCGGGGGTAAGCTAGAGAGTTGTGTCTCGAGGCTGTGAGTGTGTACCTGGTGGCTCCAAAGGACATGCGTTTGCGAGGCAGCTTCACTTCAATGTCACAGGTGCGGGTGGGTGTGAGATTCAATTTTTTTCCGTGGAGCGTGGTGCATTCCATGATTCCCATGCTGTTAATGACTCTGTAACATCGCTATGCCTTGTTTTACCCGTGAACCCCCATGTTCAACACAGACGTTCCGCAGCTTCACGCTCTTCCACGTGGGCGCTCAGGTAAGCCTCCCTTTTCCTGTCCATTCTGTGCCCCACCCTCGCTTTCACCCCACCCCAACCACCCTCGCTCCCCACTCATCCCTAGCTATCACCCAACCCTGCACCCCTCCCCTCCCACATTCAGCACTCCTCGCTCACTCCCTCCCTTATTCCCCCGAGGGGTCCATTCATGCTGCGATGAGCGAGGCACTGTCAACAGAAGCTTTGTATCAATCTGTGCCCCCTCCCAGTTCGCATGTGTGGAATCTGAGCTTGAGGCGTGCGCAGTAAGAAAAACATTATAGAAGAATAAGTATCTATTGTATCAACACTGTTAGGTCAGCCGACCTCAATGCGCCCCATGCTGACATTCACTCCATGCACCCCATGCACCCCATGCACCCCATGCGCCCCATGCGCCCCATGCACCCCACGCACCCCATGCACCCCATGCACCCCATGCACCCCATGCACCCCAAACACCAGCATGACGGCTCTGGCAATAGCATGCTGTGGCGCGCCATGGGGTACTGCGGACCCGATCCCAACATGCTCGCTGCTGGGAAGCACCGCGGCCGAGACAGCTCAGCTGCTTGCGATCCTGACGTGGCACAACGGCCAGCTCAACATGCTGACATGGCACAGCGTCCAGCTCAGCAATCCGACAGAGGCGAAGGAGAAGCAGAGCATGAAGAGGAGACGATGAGGGGAGAGGGGGAGAGTGGTGGGTGTGGGGCGAAGGGAGGCGAGGCGAGGCCACTGGACGAGGCGGTGGTGGACTGTGCAGCAGAGGGCGAGGGGCTGGCAGCAGTGCTGCAAGGGAAGGGCGTGGAGGTGCTTCCGGGGCCCAGGCAGACGATTGGGCTGCTGGGCAGGCGAGATGAAGGGGAAGGAGAGGTGGGTCCCTTGGGTGAGGTGATGTGTGTGCAGTGGGTGGTATAGTGGGAAACGTTTATGAGGTGAACTTTGTTTGTACTGAAATCATTACACTCCTTGCCCACCCACCACTCTTCCCGTCCACCCCTCACACACTCCAACTTGTAGCATCTCTTTCCACCGAGTTATATCTCAACCATCTCGTACCATCCATTATCAGCCGCTTTCTGCCCCGTGTTTACTGCTCTTCACCCCTTCCAACCGCACACCATCTGCTGCTCCCTTGCCAGCCTGTGGTGGTGCGGTGCGATGCGGTGGTGATTGGTTCGGGCTGTGGAGGAGCCATCATTGCGGCTCAGCTCGCAGAAGCAGCAGCTGCAGCTGGTGGTGCTGGCAATGGTGGGGATGACAGCGGGCGGCGGAGGAAGGTGTTGGTGCTGGAAGCAGGGGGGTACTTTTTCCGCTCGGACTTGTCCCTTCTCGAAGCTCCCTCTGCTCAGATGTGAGTAATCCCTGTCCTGCTCAGATGTGAGTACTCCCTGTCCTGCTCAGATGTGAGTACTCCCTGTCCTGCGTGCTCCCTCAGCTACGACACAGAGAATGGCAGCATGGTACGACACAGAGAATGGCAGCATGGTACGACACAGAGAATGGCAGCGTGGTACGACACAGAGAATGGCAGCATGGTACGACGCAGAGAATGGCAGCGTGGTACGACACAGAGAATGGCAGCATGGTACGACACAGAGAATGGCAGCGTGGTACGACACAGAGAATGGCAGCGTGGTACGACACAGAGAATGGCAGCGTGGTACGACACAGAGAATGGCAGCGTGGTACGACACAGAGAATGGCAACGTGGTACGACACAGAGAATGGCAGCGTGGTACGACACAGAGAATGGCAGCGTGGTACGACACAGAGAATGGCAGCGTGGTACGACACAGAGAATGGCAGCGTGGTACGACACAGAGAATGGCAGCGTGGTACGACACAGAGAATGGCAGCGTGGTACGACACAGAGAATGGCAGCGTGGTACGACACAGAGAATGGCAGCGTGGTACGACACAGAGAATGGCAGCGTGGTACGACACAGAGAATGGCAGCGTGGTACGACACAGAGAATGGCAGCGTGGTACGACACAGAGAATGGCAGCGTGGTACGACACAGAGAATGGCAGCGTGGTACGACACAGAGAATGGCAGCGTGGTACGACACAGAGAATGGCAGCGTGGTACGACACAGAGAATGGCAGCGTGGTACGACACAGAGAATGGCAGCGTGGTACGACACAGAGAATGGCAGCGTGGTACGACACAGAGAATGGCAGCGTGGTACGACACAGAGAATGGCAGCGTGGTACGACACAGAGAATGGCAGCGTGGTACGACACAGAGAATGGCAGCGTGGTACGACACAGAGAATGGCAGCGTGGTACGACACAGAGAATGGCAGCGTGGTACGACACAGAGAATGGCAGCGTGGTTCGACACAGAGAATGGCAGCGTGGTACGACACAGAGAATGGCAGCGTGGTACGACACAGAGAATGGCAGCGTGGTACGACACAGAGAATGGCAGCGTGGTACGACACAGAGAATGGCAGCGTGGTACGACACAGAGAATGGCAGCGTGGTACGACACAGAGAATGGCAGCGTGGTACGACACAGAGAATGGCAACGTGGTACGACACAGAGAATGGCAGCGTGGTACGACACAGAGAATGGCAGCGTGGTACGACACAGAGAATGGCAGCGTGGTACGACACAGAGAATGGCAGCGTGGTACAACACAGAGAATGGCAGCGTGGTACGACACAGAGAATGGCAGCGTGGTACGACACAGAGAATGGCAGCGTGGTACGACACAGAGAATGGCAGCGTGGTACGACACAGAGAATGGCAGCGTGGTACGACACAGAGAATGGCAGCGTGGTACGACACAGAGAATGGCAGCGTGGTACGACACAGAGAATGGCAGCGTGGGGCTGCGAATGGGGAGGGCAGTGAGTTGATTCAAAACGTTCCTCCCCGTTCCTCCCGTTTCTCACACTCCAACTCCACCCTCCATCTTCTCTCACTCGCTGTCCTAGCTCAACCCTCTCCCTGACCACGGAGGATGGCGGGGTGGCGCTGCTGGCAAGTGGCCTCCTAGTCTACCTTGTCGTCCTCCCTCTTGTTTCCCTCCCTCTCCTGGCTCCCGCAGGCACGACACACATGAGCAGTACGACCGTGCATGAGCAGTAATCGCTGCTCCGGCTTTTCAAGGGTAGACAAAGCCTCCCGCAGGCTTTGTCACCACCGAAGTCTGGCGAGTGGACTTCTGAATTCTCACCCTCCCGATTCATCCTCCCTCTTATTTCCTTCCCTCTCCTGGCTCCTCTCAGGTACGACACGCAGGGCTTTCTCACCACGGAGGATGGCGGGGTGGCGCTTCTGGCAGGGAGAACAGTGGGAGGCGGCAGTGCTGTCAACTGGTCTGCATCCTTCCGCACACCGCCCCACGTCACCAAGGAGTGGGCCGGCGAGTATGGGCTCAAGGTGGGTAAGCGTGGGTTGTTGAAATGCTGATGAGCATACGAGTGCTATTTTCTTCTTGCGAACATGGATGGTGTGACATAAAACGTGGTGTGATCTGGTGCCACCATGTAACACATGATTTTTACGCCATGTGAATCACTAAAGCACGTTCACGGCTCTCTCTCATGTCCCTGTTGCTCACCCTCCCTCCTCCCACCTACTCTCCCCCTCGCTGCCCCACACGTCTGGCAGCAATTTGAGTCGCCGGAGTATGCAGCAGCCATGGATGCCGTTTGTGAGAAGATTCAGGTGCGCGAAAGTACATTGAGGCATGCCCAATACTAGATTCAGCAGCTCACAAGCTGTGCTCAAAACTGACTTCTAATTCCCTGCCCAGGGTTGTCAGCATGCGTCTCCCCTGCTGCCCCTCCCTTTTCCCCCACACAGGTCACAGCAGACGAGACCCTCACCCCGCACAGCCTGAGCAACGCAGCGCTCAAGGCGGGGTGCGCGGCTCTGGGCTGCCACCATGCCGTCACCCCCCGCAACACCAACCAGCCGCACCCCTGTGAGTAGCCTCACCCCTGTGAGTAGCCTCACCCCTGTGAGTAGCCTCACCCCTGTGAGTAGCCTCGCCCTTGTGAGTAGCCTCACCCCTGTGAGTAGCCTCACCCCTGTGAGTAGCCACATTGCATCTTGACGTGCATCTACATAAGTGGCAGACTTAGCAGGTGCTCTCCATACCCTTGTCATTCTGCTCAGGCCCCATCCCTCCTCTCCCTATTTGCTTCCAACCCCTCCCAGGCGCCTGGTGCACCTTTGGCTGTTGGTCAGGCGAGAAGCAGTCGATGCTGGAAACCTGGTTACCAGACGCTGTTACACACGGCGCCATCATCCTCTCCCGCTGCGCCGCCCTCCGCCTCCTCCTCTCCCCCAACCGCCCTGCCAGCACCACCCCTGGTGCCACAAGCAGCAGCGCGGCTGCTGGCGTGAGGCGGAGGAAGCGGGTGGTGGGGGTGGAGGCGAGAGTAGAGCAGCAGGGCGTGCGGCAGAGAGTTGTGGTGGAGGCCAACTTGGTTGTTGTGGCGTGTGGCAGGTAGGGTGGGAGCCTGCAACGTTTACATCCTTAATGTTCTACCTCTGACGCCCTTAACCCCTTTCCCACCCCGTGGTTCCCCACTGCCCCTTCTTGACCCACATTGCACCTACCTACCCCCATACCCCCTTCCCCCCGGGCCCCCACCGGCCTGCACACGCCCCCTCTGGTGCTCTCCAGTGGCCTCACCAACACTGCAATCCGCCCCTCGCTTCGCCTTTGGCTTCTTTCCTTCTTGCCCCCACTGCTCCCCTTCCCTACTCCCCCGCCCCCCACCAGCCTGCACACGCCGCCAATGTTACTCGCCAGTGGTCTCACCAACCCCGCCATCGGCGCCTCGCTGCATCTGCACCCCGTCACCTCCGCCGGGGGTTTCTTTCCCGAGACCTTCCCCTTTGTTTCCCCGTTAACCCCCTCTCTGTCCGCCTCCCTGCCCCCCTTCAACCCCCTTGTCATCCCCTGCCCCCCTCTGCCCCTCCTTGTCCCCCATTCCACCCACTTATTCCCCTTTCCCCTCCCCATACCCCGCCAGCCTCCACACGCCTCCTCTACTGCTCGCCAGTGGTCTCACCAACCGAGCCATCGGCGCCTCACTGCGCCTGCACCCCGTCACCTCCGCCTGGGGCTTCTTCCCCGAAACCGCCCCTTCCCTGCCGCCCTCGCTGCCCGCGGGCCCGGGCTATCTGGGGCCAATCATGAGCGTCAACTCGAGGGAGACGGCTAACTGGGAGACAAGTGGATATGGTGCCATGATTCAGGTAAGGGTGCAGTATGAATCAGGTCATATGAATCAGGTCTTATGAATCAGGTCTCATGAATCAGGTCTTATGAATCAGGTCTCATGAATCAGGTCATATGAATCAGGTCTTATGAATCAGGTCTTATGAATCAGGTCATATAATTCAGGTCATATGATTCAGGTCGCACCCTGTATTTCATGTGATGACCCCACAATGTCATCACATGTCTCCCTTGCTGCAATCTGCACTTTTCTGCCTTCCTCTTCCCCCCGTGTGCCATCCCAGACCCCCACGATGCACCCGGGTCTGCTGGGCTGCGCCATACCCTGGCTGGGCAGCCAGGCCATCAAGCAGTCTGTCGTGCACTTTGCTTCCACTTACCTACCCTTTGTGCTTCTCGCCTTCCTCTGCTCCCTTCTCTCCCTCCAGACCCCCACGATGCACCCGGGTCTGCTAGGCTGCGCCATACCCTGGCTGGGCAGTCAGACCATCAAGCAGTCAGCAGTGCGCTTCGACCGCATTGCCTCGCTCATCTCCATCGTCAGGGACCGCGGGCGTGGCACTGTGCGCGTGGACGGCAGCGGCCGGCCTGTAGTGACGTACCGGCTGTGCAAGGAGGACCAAAAGAGCATGCAGGTGAGATGTAGGGGAGGGGAGAGTGGGGAAAAGGGGTTGGGGAGGGGAAAGTGTATGAGGGGGGTGGAAGGGGATGTGGGAAGGTTGTGCAGACATGTACATCGACTCCAAAGTCACCCCAGCTGGGCAAGGCGGGTCAGGTTGTGCTAGCAAGTTGTTCATGCAAACAACTGTGGGCTGTCTCCCCGTCTCCCTCTCCTTGTTCCCCATTGCGCTATTCATAATCTGCCACCCGTCACCAGGAGGCCCTGCTGCTGTCGACTTTTGGGTCGACTCAAAACACGTCTCTCCCCGTCTCCCTCTCCTTGTTCCCCGATGCGCTATTCATGACCTGCTATATTCATCACCAGGAGGCCCTGCTGCTGTCGCTGCGCATCCTTAGGGCAGCGGGAGCTGTGGAGGTGGGCACGCTTCACCAGTCCCTCAAGCCCTTCCGCTGCCTCATCCCACCCACCGTTGACGCCGACACAGCTGATGAAAACCTGCTGGCAGCGAAAGCCAAATTGAAAGGCAGCATTAGCTTGGAGGGGATGGATGGGTGGCAATGCACGTCTGATACGGAGTTTGAGGCGTACTTGAAATCCGTGGTTGCAGCGGGTTTTAAGCTGAATGATTGCACATTGTTCTCCGCGCACCAGACCGGCAGCTGCCCCATGGGTACTTCCCCTAAGAACTCTGTTGTGGATGAGAATGGGGAGAGTTGGGAAGTGTCTGGGTTGTTTGTGGGCGATGGGAGTGTGTTTCCGACGCCTGTGGGAGTGAATCCTATGGTGTCTATTGAGTCAGTGGCGTTCATGATTGGGAAAAGGCTAGCGGATAGAGTTAGGAATGGGGAGTTTAGTGAGTGAAACAGACATGTCAAAGTGTTTTGAGGGAGACGTTGAAATTGTTGCCGTTTCAAAAGATATTGCACTACTGGATGAACCTATAACGAGCATCCGGTACGGACCCACCCCCATCACCTGTTGACGCTTTGCTGCAAGTGTGCTTGCTGGGGGAGGCATCTGATTTGGACGTATGTGGGGTGCCTGCCTGTCGGCTGGATGAATGAACTTGGCTCGGCTCGGCATCCCCACTGTTTACATTTTTCGCCAACTGTCTGTGGTTGTTTGTCTCGTATTGCCAATGTTCGGTACGGTACGGTTCAGCACGCTATTTCTGAGATATTTCAGTTCAGTGGGGTCTTTTCCGCATCAGTTGGAGCAACCGTTGCTTGCTGCAAAACGTTCCAGCTGTGTACTGTTTGTCAAATCATTAATGCCAGCTGGTTGCAGCTTTTGGTGTGTTTCGTTCCTCCGCACAGTGCTTGACCTGCAAGTGGCACCAATAGAAGGTTCGGAAAATGCGGAACCGTTAGGTCAGGTGTGCATCGCGGGTTCCGGTCAAGTTCCTTTCACACGTTCTGCACGAAATCGAGTCGTCGTCACGTCACGCGACTGTAGGATGACTCAGTCTCGCCTCCTCGTGTCATTCGACTCCAACAAGCCGTCCGTCAAGTAAGCCGCCAACATGGTGTTCGCCGGCAGCCCAAATGAGTGACCGACCGGCGACTCCGACCTTCGTACAGTAAGAGCCTCGGACAACTTGGTACAGTGAGGCCGGGGTGCATCATGCTATTTTGCAGGATCGCGATCCCAAGCGATCCTTGTTACAGTGTTTTGTATTTTGCGCACAGTAACAACTGTAGCGTTGCTGCACCACGACCCTGGGGGATCGCGAAAACTGCCACCCAACCACCCTCGATCATGCGGGATCTGAGAGCCTGCGATCCCACGCGATCAAGGGTTGGAGGTGCACCACGTGCACACCGATCCTTGTTCGCGAGAAAAAAAAATCGCCGAACAACAAACGACACGAGAGCGAGGCGAAGACGACATGGTTACGGAACAAACGCTGAAACCAAAATGTACAGGCGACGCCTTGACCGCGTCTCATTGGTAGTGGGGGATCGGGACTGCAAAACTGCAGGTGGCGCATCATGGGGGGGTGCCATTGGGTCGCCAGGGGGCCCCGAGCACGCCCAACCCAACCGGATTCCACAGGGTTGCGGTTCTAGCATCGCGATCAAGCATTTCATGCAATGACAGCATGATGCACCACGCCCTAAAGAACGGTGTTGTACTAGGCGGTCTGGTACGGATGGTGTCAGACGAGGCAACCCAGTTCTGCTTTCAAGCGGCTGACTCAGCAGGGTCACCGAGCAGAACCATACAGCACCACGCACGCCTCGAGCAATTTTTTCCTCGAGTCGTTTGGAAGTTCTTCCGCCCATACATGGTTGAGAATCGCGAGTGAGCTAAAAATGTCGACTTCTTTTCCCCCACAGCTTCAAGCTGACGTTCAACGTCTTCGTACCATCTCGGCTTCTCCCTCATAACGCGTTCTTCAGTTCCTAAGCCCTGTCACGTGACGCCTTCTGTTATTCGTCGAAAGTGATGGCGTTTGCCGTCGCACAGCCCGCGTCGTCCGCAGATCCCGTCATCGTTCTTCTTTCCGATGGCTCCATTTGTTTGTATCACGAGCAGCTCATGCAAGTCAGGGACGTCCTTAGAGAGTTTCCCCACCACGGCCTCGCGTCGCTGAATCACATCGCAGCGTCGGGCGCAGGGGCACCGCCAGATCTTGCTACTTCTGGCTATTGCTACGCGACGTCGCGACAATCACAACCGCCAAATGCGGCGCCTCTTCCGCCGGAGCGTTTTTTGCGGCCTGGAGGAACCTATTGCTTGGTGGAGCATCCAGTCTTGGCTGCACACGTTGCTCTCTCGGTCAACCACGCGCGCCGGCCGCATGATTTGGCGTCATGTGCGGCGGAGTGCACGGCGAGCGATGCGGAAAACAGGATTGACGACTCGGAGTCGCCGTCGGGCGATGCGACCGTTGTAAGCTGCTTCACGCCGCGTGCATCCCGCACCTCGACCCGCCAACGCGCTGCGGTCGCAGCGAAAGGCGGATCTGGCTTGGAGCGTGCGGCGTCCATGCCTCCCATAAACCACTCGCTGCGCGCCGCGCTAATGATGCCCACCACGCCGCGCAAACCTACCACCGGTGCCGCCATCGGCGCCGTCGCGTTGCCATCATCGCCTAGTGCAGCCGCCGCCGCGGCCACGCCGGCAACAACCCTTCCTCCCCTTGCCCGGACTACCAGCGGCACCGTCCCGTCCACTGCGCCAACCATCCCCAACTCCGTCTCGCAGCGCGCGCGACCGTCCTCCGCCGCTTCCCCCCTCATCTCCCCGCGCGCGCCACCGGCCTCCGCGTCCGCCCTCATCTCTCCGCGCGCGCCACCGTCCTCCGCGTCCGCCCTCATCTCCCCGCGGGCACCCCCTGCCTCCGCTTCGTCCCTCGTCTCACCGCGCGCGCTTCTCTCTCCAGCGGGTCGCGGAAGCTTGCGCGCGCTTTGACCGCTCTCCCGCGCCCTCGTAGAAATGCGTCACGTGAGCGCGACGGGACGGAACGGAGCCGCGTCCCGCGTGACGTCAGCAATCACGGCGCGTCAGGCCCGTGGTCGCTGATGGACCTAGTCTCGCCAAAAGGCGCCGCGAGCGCGTCGCGCGCTGAAAACCATACCGTGGCACAGCTCGGTGCTTATGCAATTTCCGCAGAAGATATGTACTCGTGGGAAAACGCTATCCGCGACCTTAAGATCTCGCGAGGTGAGCGTGAAGAGGAGGGGGAGGCGGAGAGTAGCGAAAGGCAGCGAAACAGGGGCGTTCGCTACTTCAGTGGGCGAAATGAGGCGAGGCAGGCGAACTGGTCGGGAGGGCTGACGCCCAGGGGCCTCCCGCTGCTGTCGCCCGTGGAGACGGCGTCTGAGTGCGACGACGGCACGCAGCAGCAAGGGCGGAACGCTGCAGATTCAGTGCAGTCAACGCAGTCAACAGGTTCAACGGGGTACATGTTTAGAGTGTCCAGTCAGGGCAGTCTTGGCATGGCTCGGAGCAGCTCTGAGAGCTCTGAGAGCAGCTGCAGCGGCGGAGGAGGCAGCAGCTGGAGAGCAAGCCGGACCAACATTGCTGGCAGCAGCTGCGGCAGTATCAACGCCAGCACCAGCAGCAGCGTCAGCAGCAGCAGCAAGGGTCGGCTGCAGGCTGCGTCCCACCGCCTCTCTCTGTTCAAGTCCCTGCGCCTGCATGTTGCTGCTGCTGGTGCTGCTGCTGGCGTGCATACTGCTGAGAAAGCAGCAGCAGTGGAGGCAACACATGCCGATGGCCTGAGCAGAAGTACGCCGAGCCTTACGAATGGTGGCTTGAGTCCTAGCGCAGCAAAGCTTGCATGTGCGGCAGGTCCGGGTGAGGGGGGTAGCGAGGAGATCTCTCTTGGAGCTTCAGCGCATTGTGTCGCTGCATCTTCTGATTCTTCAAGCAGCGACCTGACACAGATGAAGGACTGGTTCTCCCGTAACGTGGCCTCGGCTCCTAATACCCCGCTTCCTGTGCTGCCTCGAGATGCTCCTACTCCGAAGTTAGTGAATAATCTTGGTTTCGTTGCAACTGGTTCAGGGAGCACACTTGCGGGTCCTAGCATGAGGATGCACGGTGTAAATGCTTCTGCTTACGTTGTTGAGCCCTTTCCAGTGACGCCTCTACATGCTATCTCATAGTAGTACTGTGGTAGTATCAGTTACTATTTTTTTTTGTTTCATATTGTGGCAATTATAAAGTGTTCTTGTTTTGTTTTCCTCATTCAGCTTCTTGGACATAGTTTGTGCATAATAATCAGCAAGTACCGCGTAACTGTATATCCCCTAGCTCAGGTGTACCGTATTTCATTTCCAGCACGCTTTCAATCCATCATCCCCGAGCCTCGCGTTTCTGTCCTGAAATCAAGCGCGCCTCGGAGGCCCAAAATTGGTCTGTGCGAGCCGCGCGAGTTGCAGGCCGTCCAGCTTCCCTCGCAACGCAAATCCCTCGCACACACTCGCAGCAGACTTCTCCCGCCTGTCGGTGCGAACAAATTCGAGGCCTGGGCTGGGCAACGGTGAAGCTGTTAGGGAGGGGAGGAGAGGAGGAACCTCGAGAAAGGAAGCAAATCGAAGTGATGGGACACGGCCACTGTTGGAGTGGAAGTGGCACAACGACCGATGCTGATACAAGTCGTGGAGCTGGATGACGGCGCAGGGCTTGCGCGAAATGGACTGTTTTTCTCCCTGCTTTGTGAATTACGGTAGTGGAGTTGAGGTTTGAAGTCACTTCGTGCTGTTGCTTCAGCTAAACTCTCGTCACGGCTCGCAGCGTAGGGCTGCTTCGTGACATTTCCGACCGACTAGATCGGCCCCTCTGAGCTTGCGAGTGCCACCGACCCCATCCTTCCTCCACGTTCAGTAGTTAACTCCTTGCCCCGTCGTAGGCCGCTAGATAGCGCGGTTCTTTCGTCGATTTCTTTTGCCAGCCTCTCGGACCTGCGATATCCTTACGGACTATTCTGTTGCCATTTCTCCTCACCCAAGTCGCTTGCTCCACGCATCGGCAAATCGTTGAAGAAGAAAGGCCTCTAGCCTCGGGAGACCTCATGCGGCGCGGCACGGATCTCTCGACGAAGCGAAGCGTAGTACGAACAGAAACCCGGAGCCCGGCGTGTCGTAGGAATCACGACTGTCAACCAGAAGGCTCGGTAAATATGGGCTCGATACTGTTAGAAAGACACAGATCGTCATGCACGGAGCTCAATTCCCAGCACTATCGAGACAGACAAGTATTAGATGCGAACCGCCGTCCATGCTCGTTACCAAGCCGCGCGAGACGGCAACAACGGCTCCCATTCTCATCCCTCGCGCTCTACCTCCCATTCGCGCTCCTCGCGCTCATGGCCGTTGCAATTGCGCCTAGTAGAGCGGCGGGGTTGGTGGCGGGCGTGGTGTCGCGAACCAACATGACCATTCTCCTCAACGGCGTGCCGGTGGTGCCCAACATGGTCGTCGCGAAGGACGGCTCGGGCGACTTTACCACTATCCAGGTGCGTGCGACGCGTGTGACGTGTGCGATGGCGCATGGTCTCGATGCGTGCGATGTTTTCGACGACCACGTATTAGAAATACCCGCAGAAGTGCGACATTGAGGCGGATATGAAAGCACGCGTCGTGGGCGTCGCGAGGAGCGGGCAAAGGGAGATGGGGATGGCCGGTAGATTTGACGGACGAACGGACGGCAGGAAGAATAGACGGAGGGGAACGAGTCGAGCACGCGAGCATATGGGAGGAAGCAGGCAGATAGGTGGCGGGGGAAGAAGGAGGTAGTAAGACGACTTTCCAACTGCCCATTGCTAGACGACTGCAGGACTGCTGCCTAGCGATACCCGCATGCTCGTGTGCTACTCGCCCGCACATCGCGCGTGCTATTCTGCTTTCACGTGGCGAGTGTCTGGATGGCGTCTGACGTGGCATGGTGGTCGCTGTGTGACGTTGCAGGAGGCGATATACTACGTGCCGCCAGCGTATCTGCCGAATCAAGGGACGAAGATATTCGTGAAGGCCGGGTGGTACAACGAGACCATCATCATCCGACCGTACATGGTGCGTCCTTCGCGCGTCGCATGTCGTATGTGCGTCGCATGAGTCGCTCGTCGCGTGCATTATCCTCCCAGTGCGCTTACCACGCAGGCTACCGTCGGCCCGCATGTGTGCGTCATCGCTTCTCCGCACCCCCGCATGCTCGCACGAACATCTCTCGCCTGACCGATTTGTTGCATGTCCGCGTCTCCACCTCCCCCCAAATGCTCCGCTCAAACCCTTTCCCCACCTTTCTACTCCCCTCTCCCCATTCCTTCCCCTCTCCTCTCCCCCTCTCTTCCCCCCGCAGCGCTATCTGTCGCTGATCGGCGATCCCGAGGGCGGCGGCAGCACGGTGTCGTGCAATCGCTACAGCGGCATGCTCAACGAGAACGGCGACATGCTCTCCACGTGTAAGCACCACACTGGCTTCACGTGTCGGCACCGCATTGGCTCGCCGTGCCTGCGCGCGCCCTTGAAGCGCGTGACGGCCGTAATCCCCACTGCTCCAATCGATGTGCTCCCACTGTGATTGAACCTCACGATTGTCACTCGCTTTCCTCGCTTTACTCTTCTGCCGCGCTCCCCTTGGCACGCCCCTCTCTTCCGCAGTGAACACGGGCTGTTTTGTCGTATTCGCGGACGATTTCACGGCCGTGAACGTCAACTTCGAGAACGCGTCGCCGCGGCCGCCGCCCAACAGCTACATCTACCAAGCGGTGGCCGTCAGAGTGACGGCCAACCGCACCGCGTTCTACAATTGCTCCATCAAGTCGTTCCAGGTAGGCCCCGCCGCCGTCATAGCCGTCGACGTCATAGTCGTCATCGTCATCATCGGTCCGACTCCCTCTGTACATGCCACCACTCTGTCGGTACGTTCACTCACGCACGCACCTTCCCCTCCTCTTCAGCGTCCTCTCTTCCTCTCACAGCCTCCCCCTCTTCCCCCTTCCCCCCCGGTCCACTTCCCCCACGCAGGATACCCTATATGCGCACAAGGGGTGGCAATACTACAAGGATTGTAAGTGACCCAGCGGGGGCGAGGGGGTTCGTGGGGAAAGGGGGACGTGGGGGATGTGTGCGCGTGAGGAGAGGAGAGGAAAGAGTGCGCGATCTCAGGGGAGGGAGAGGACAGGACGCTAGTGCCTCCGGTATTGCCACGCGGCACCGTAAAGCCATGATTTTTATTTACGGGCTCGCGCGTTTGCCGCGCGACTCCGCCCTCGTTGATCCTTCACTCTCCTTCCTCCTCACGCCCAGCTCCCCCACGCCCCCCCAACGCTTCCCCCACGCCCCTTCACACCCCCCCCCACACGCCCGCTCACGACCCCCCGTCTCTCGCCCCCCCCCACCCCCACTTTCCAGGCTACATCTTCGGGACGGTGGATTTTATTTTCGGGCAGGCGAAGGCGCGGTTCGAGTCGTGCGTGCTGCAGATGTCGAGCTACGGGTTCGCGTCGGTGACGGCGCAGAAGCGCGACATTAAGAACGACGATAACTGCTTCGTCATGGTGCAGAACCGCGTCATCGGGCAGCAACCCATCATCGCGCAGGTGGGTTATTGTTCAAATGAGGGGAATAACGGGTGGGGGAAAAGGGGAGGGGGTAGAGCATAAGAAGCGCGACATTAAGGACGACGACAACTGCTTCGTCATGGTGCAGAACCGCATTATCGGGCAGCAACCCATCATCGCGCAGGTGATCAGGGGGAGGGAATGGGGGGGAATAGCTGGTGGGGGGGACTGGAGGAAGGGGAGGATAAGGAGGAGGGAAGTTGCAATGGAGAAGTTGTAGTAGACGTTTGGTTGGTGATGGAGCAGGGCGGTGTCGTGAGGCAGCAGCCCTCGTCGTGGCGGTGATCACAGGGGATGGATCCGATCCATCACGTCACAAGGGACCCACGGCTGCAGGAGCCGCAGTTGCACAACCTGATGTATCTTCCCTCGTGTTGGTGCCTGCAGGGGTGGCTGGGGCGGTCGTGGGGTCAGTACGCGTGCACCATCTTCGCGCACTCGTACATGGACGAGATCATCAACGCCGATGGTGAGCATAGTGGCTTACTCGTATCGGACATGGACAACTTGAAGTACAGTATATGAGTGTCACCCTCACAGAGCTCTCTCTCTCTCTCTCTCTCTCTCTTTCTACGCGTGCACCATCTTCGCGCACTCGTACATGGACGAAATCTCAGCGCCGAAGGTGAGCATAGTGGCTTACTCGTATCGGAGTCCATCTCTCAGGCTCCCAGAGTGGTGACAGTGTGAACGCACGATCGCTTGCACGCACAGCACGCATTACAAGAATAGCACGAGCGCCTCTCCCTCGTTGAGCTTTCTCTCTACATTCTGCGCCTAAGTACAGCAACACCTCTCGCCTCTCCCTCTGCCTACCTCGTAATTCTCTCCCTCCGCCTCTCCCACTTATTTCCCACCCCCATAACGCTTATTTCCCTGTCGCGGGTCTGGACGACCTTCTATGCAGAGTGCTACCACAGGCATCGGGTGTCCCTTGCCCTCCCTCATACCTCTCTTGCTATTATTCCCTTGCCCTCCCTCGTACCTCTCTTGCTATTATTCCCTTGCCCTCCCTCATACCTCTCTTGCTATTATTCCCTTGCCCTCCCTCATACCTCTCTTGCTATTATTCCCTTGCCCTCCCTCATACCTCTCTTGCTCCCTCTGCTCCCTTGCTATCATTCCCTTGCCTCCTCGACATCCCCCCCGCAACTTATGTGCAGTGGAGGGGTTGGACGACCTTTTAAGCAGAGTCAGCAATAAGGTGTCCCTTGCCCCCCCCCCTCACCTCTCTCTTGCACACTCTCATCCTCTCTCTCTCTCCGTAACTCCTCGCCACCTCACAGCATGGAATAACTTTTACGTGCGGTCACGGGAGTGGACGACGTTCTACGCGGAGTACAACAACACGGGCATCGGGGCCAACCTGGACGGGCGCGTGCTGTGGCTCAAGACCTTGACCACCGCCGCCCGCCGATACTTTCTATCCAAGGCCTGGATCGGCCTCGACTCGTGGTTCCACCCCTTCCCCCAGATGATGTGACATGCCGGGTAGCAAATTGTTTATACAGAGAGCTGGGTCATGTTGTTACGCTACTTGTTGCCCTGGTGCACAGGACCAAGTTTGGACCGAGGGGTGGAGGAGGGTGAGGAGGGAGGTTAAGATACCGAGGCAGACACTGGTTCAGGAAAGGGACCCGGGTCTCTGGCTTGCCGATTAACACTCACATGGCAGGGTAACCAGTGTGTTCCAGCCATGCATTTAACACAGTAAACAATAATGTGGTGCCTTTCCACACGGAAGCACTGTTTTCAATAAATGCTGATGCAGTGAATAGAACGATTGAACAGGGCAACTACCGTATGGCTTGTGTAGCCATCCACAGCAGTTATTGCACGTGAATGCACTGTTTCAATGCTGGAGAGTACACGTCATAAGCCTTGACACGCAGAGGTGGTCCAGACAGAACAGCTGCGGCGCATGCATGGCAGACATCCACTGCGGGAAGGAGCATTGTCAAGTAGAATAAAATCGGTAACCAGCACCGTCTCATAAAATGGAGTATGCTGCCTTGCTGCCCCTTCTGTGCCACTTTGTCCTGCTTCATGCCTCCTGCTGCGTCCATGTCTCTAGCTCCATTTCAATGCCCCTGCTGCCTATCATCACCACCAGCACCAGCACCCCCATCGTCCTCGCGCCGGTACAGCTGCTCCAGCTGCTCCTTCAGCGACCCCTTGCCCTTCCCCTTCCCCTTCCCTCTCCCCAATCCGAACTCACCCAACCCTTGCCCTTGCCCGCCCATCACCGCTTGCCCCTTGCTGCCGCTGCCCCCAATCCCCTCCTCCTCGCCACAGGAACACGCCTTCACGTTGAGGTTCGCCCCGCACCCGAGGCACATGCCTCGGCACCCGGGGCTGCACCGGACCTTGAGAGGGATCTCCAGGTGCACCGTGTCGCGCACGTACTTAGAGACGTCTATAATCCGCTGGTCCGGGGGGAAGTAGAGCTTATCGTCTAAGTCTAGGTCCAGCATGTCGCCCTCGTCGCCATCGTCATAGTCGGCAGGGAGAGAGTTAAAGCTGGAGGAGGGGGCGTCTAGGATGACCCCTAGGCTGCGCTTGGTGGGCTCGTGGAGGGGTGAGGCGGAGAGTAGCAGGCTGAACTCGCTATAGATGGGCTCGGTAACGGGGCATAAGCACCTGGCAAGGACGGGAGAAGGGGTTGGGGTTTGCGGATTCGGGTAGAGGAGAGAACGAGGAGTGAGGGATGGGGCGGAATAGGGGAGTAAGGGAGAGCAGGACATTTGAAGGGAACTCCTGTTATAAGCTCACCTGTGGCACTGCATGGCGAACACTGTCTGCGCAGTGCCGTCCAGCCTTATATCGCGTCCCACTTTAGAAGAACGCATGCGCACTACCACAGCTGTACCCTCCGCCTCCCCCTCTCCATCGTCTCCCGTGCGCTCATCTTGCGGGATTTCCGCCATCAGTGTCTCCGCGGCCTGCGCACGGGACGCCGCGGAGGAGAGATGCGGAAGCGCGAGGCGCTCCAAGGAAGTGACGAAAACAAATTCCTGACGAGCCGCGCTGCGACGGTAGACCACGGCGCCGAGCCAAGGCTCGCCCTCCTCCAAAGCAGCAAGGTCCGCTGCCGAACTTCCAGGTTCGGATCTGTTCGAAGCCTCGGCTCGAGTGACTAGCCGATTCGACCTCGTGTTTGATGAACATTGAAGATAGTCAATGCTAACTGTCGATCGAAAGCTTCTAGGTTTGAAAGGAACGCGAAGCCTTTTCGCATCAGCGTGCTCAGAACTGTTGGAGGAGCGGCCGCGTGATAACGGCAACGGCACACAAGGAACAAGTCTATCTTGGACGATAGGTGGACTGACAGCAAATGCTAACGACCCCATGCCGCGGCGCCTGAGACGAACGATGATGACCAGGCGTGGTAGGGCGGTGCTGTGGTGTAAAACGAGGAACCGCAACGCGGAATTGTTAGAAATAGTCTAATGCGAAGGCTTTTAGAATAACAAGTTTGCTAAAGTGGGATGGGAAGGAAGTGCCACCACTTCGCGAACAAGCCTACCTTCTCCTGGTTACTTCGCCGTCGTTACTGTTATAAGTTGTGAAAGGAAAGAGTGCGCAGAACTCAATAATGCGGAAGTGATTGCAACGTCTGAATGAACAACGAGGCCTAGGCACAATATCGCAAGGCTAGCTAGGCCGAGGTCGCGGGGTCGCGAGATGGTTGGGTGGAGGTTCGGGGTTGGAAAACCCGAAAGCGACGCGGTGGTGGCTCGGAAGGCGAGGTCGGCGGGCCGAGCCTGGTTTTCCGAAAGTCGGGGTTGTACGCGTACAGTGTGACCCAGTAAGGAATCCGGAAAATTCCTTACACTACCCCCCCCTTTAAGAAAGGTGGTGAATATCCGAAACACCTCGGCGGGCCAGGTAAGCGTCCAAAACCGGGTGTCCCAGTAGCGAATCAGCAGCGACATACGTGTCGTCCTCGCTCGTGCGGTCTTTCCAGCGAAGCAGGAATTTCACCGAGCGGCCGGCGGCAGTCACATCCACGCGATGGTTAAGAATCTTCCAAGGTTCCAGCGTGGGCTCTGCCACGGGGCGAGTGGTCGGCGCGATGGTTGGTCGAGCAACAGCTGGCGACTGCGGCTGTTCGTAATGACGCAACAGGCTGACGTGGAAGGCGTCATGGATTTTCCAATCGTCGGGCAGCAGCAGCTTCGCGGTGACAGGTGTCACCATCTGGATGATACGAAATGGTCCCACGTATCGGGGCCGTAATTTCGCGGGCTGCGGCAACCGAAGGTTCTTGGTGTCCAGAAGCACAACCTGCCCTGTGCGGAAGGGTAAATTTCGTCGGTGTTTATCCGCCTGGCGACTGGCCGTGGTATTAGCCTTGCGAATGAAATCGGCTGCTTTCGTTCGGGCGGTTTGCAGTTCCGTGACAAACTGCTGCGATCTTGGTACCGGGTTGTCCACAGTCGTTGAAGAGGGTACCACGGGGTCTATCCCGTAATTCAGGAAGAAGGGTGATTGTTTAGTCGTGGCCGACGGGGCGTTGTTGTACGCGAATTCCAGCATCGGCAGCGAATCTTCCCACTTGCGAATGTCGGGGCAGTTGGTGCGAATCAGCTGTTCCATGGTCTGATTTGTCCGTTCCGTCTGTCCGTCGGTTTGCGGGTGGTATGACGACGAAAACTGCAGGCGGGTACCGTACTGTGCCCACGCTTCCTGCCAGAACTTCGACGTAAATTTCGGATCACGATCGCTGATGATCGCCGAAGGTAACCCGTGTAGGCGTACGACGGTGGAGATGAACAGTTTGGCTGTATCTTCGGCTGTGATCGTCGTTCGGCATGGGGCGAAATGCGCCATCTTCGTTAGGCGATCGACGACGACCAACACCGAGTCGTTGCCACTCGTGCCAGCTGGGAGCCCCGTGACGAAATCCATCGCCACCTGTTGTCACGGTCGTTCGGGTGGCGCGAGGGGTTGCAGCAGTCCGGCTGGCCTTTGTCGCGACGACTTCATTGCTTGGCAGGTCGGGCAAGTTGACACGTAGCGCTGCACATCGGTCTGCATGTCCGGCCAGTAATAATTCCGCTGCAGCAGCTTCAGTGTCTTGTCGGTGCGGAAATGCCCGGAGAGGTTGGAGTCGTGAACCTCCTGCGTCAGCAGCTCCCGTAAAGGCTGGTATGCTGGTACCCAAATCCGGTTCGTACCGGTTTTTAGGTAGTATTTGCCGTGCGGTGTAGCAGCCTGTTGTTGCGGGTTCCGAAAAAACCTGTCGATCTTGTAGCCGTGGGTGAATAGTCCTGTTAGCATCGGGTTGGTGTGGGCGATTAGTACCGCCGCGTTTTGCATGGATGGTCGGGTAAGGGCGTCGGCGATGTTGTTGGCGCCCTTTTTGTACGTAATGGTGTACCGGAAATTGGATTCAAGGAAGTCCAACCACCGGATTTGTCGCGGGTTGAGTGTCGGTTGCGTGCGCATGTACTGTAGCGATTTATGGTCGGTCCGAATCGTCACGTCGGCTCCTGTGAGGTAGCAGCGCCAGACGCGAAATGCATGGACGATGGCCAGCATTTCTTTGTCGTAGACTGGGTAGTTGCGCTCAGGTGGCTGCATCTTGCGTGACTCGTAGGCGATGGGTTGCAGCCCTTGGCCGAAGTCCTGTAGCAGGACGGCGCCGACGGCGAAATCGCTGGCGTCCGTGACGACTTCGAACGGTCGAGATGGATCGGCGAGGCGGAGTACCGGGGGTGAACCCAAAATGTTTTTGAGGGCGTCGAAGGCGGATTGCTCCCTCTCCCCCCACCTGAAATCACTGTCGTGGTGCAGCAGGTCGGTCAGCGGCTTGGTTATCCCTGCCATATTGGGTACAAAACGACGAACGTAGTTAACAAACCCCAGAAAACTTTGCAACTCAGGGATATTAGTAGGCGGCTTCCACTTAACGATGGCGTCCACCTTACGCGGGTCGATTTTAATCCCTTCGCCAGAAACCACATGCCCCAAAAACTCTAATTCCGGCTTCAGGAACTCACACTTAGACCCCTTTGTAATTAGCCGATGCCCCTGTAAACGCCGGAACACCTCCTCTAAATCCCGCAGATGGTCCTCTTTTGTCGCGCTGTACACCAGGATATCGTCCAGGTACACGATGACCTTCTTGTCCAGCATGTCCCGAAAAAATCCATTCATGGTGAGCTGGAACGTCGAGGGCGCGTTTGTCAGGCCGAACGGCATCACTGTGAACTCATAACTGCCGTAGCGTGTGCGAAAAGCGGTCTTTGGGCAGTCGTCGGCGAATACGCGAATTTGGTGGTAGCCTCCTCGCAGGTCGATTTTCGAAAAATACCGAGCTCCGCGAAGTTGATCCAGCAGATCGTCGGTTCGCGGGATCGGGTAACGCGACTTTATCGTGACCCGATTCAGCGCCCGATAATCAATGCACATGCGTAGGCCACCGTCCTTCTTCGGCGTGAACAGTATCGGTGCTGCATACGGCGACGTGCTGGGCCGGATAAATCCCTTGGCGAGCAGGTAATCCAGCTGGGCCCGCAACTTGGCGAGTTCTGGTTGACTGAGCCGCCACTGTGTCCGCACAGTAGGTTGCGCGCCGGGCTCCAGCTGGATCCGATGATCCTCAGGTCGTTGGGGGGGCAAACCATCCAGGAGGTCATCCGCGAAAATTTCGGGATACTTCCGAATAATGCTCGCCAATTCCTCGGAGACTGCCGCGCAGAGCGTGTCGATGTCCGCGATTTTCTCGGAAGCTGCCACTTCGTACAGGTGCACTAAGAAGGTATGAGCTCCGCTGTTCATCGCACGCTGCATGTTGACCGCGTTAACACGTGTCGTCACCGGCTCCGGCTCCGTCCATTTCGGAAGCGTCGTCTTCCCTCCGTATCCTCGCACGACGCACGTCCCAGTCGTCCAGTCGATCGTCGGATTGAAGCGCTGCAGCCAATCCCTCCCCAGCAGCACATCGCAACCGTCCAACGTCGTCGCCAACATCCTCATGCCAAACCCGAATTTGTCGCCGCACTGTATCCGATTTTTTCGCGCCTCATCTCGGATGGCCAGCGGTGTCCCGTCCACCAACCGTGCATCGATCTCTGGCAGACACCTGGTCAGCTTCACCCCCATTTTTTTGGTCGTTGCCAGGTTGACGAGACTGTGGCTCGCCCCACCGTCAACGAAGATTTTAATTTTATAACCGTTAACCCTCCCTACCACCAGCACAGGGTAGTCCACGTGTTCACCCACGTTATTCGTCCGGTTCTGGTCGATAGCGCTGATCGGTACCACGACCCGGTGTGGATGGTGATTGTCGGGCGACAGGGTCTCGTCAGTAGGTGGCCCGTCTGCTACTGACTCGTATCTTTTCCCGACCCTTCTCCGTCGTTCTTCTTCCCCTGCTTAAGCCTCGGGCAGTCTTTTTTCAGGTGGCCCAGCTGGTTGCATAAAAAGCACGGCCCAAGGGCTCGGCTAGGTGCATCCACGCCGTTGATCGTGGGCTGCTGAGTCGGTCCACGAAATCGAGGGCCCTCCCGGGAGCTCGATCTCGCCCACTGCATCAGCGCCTCCGTTGACTCGGCTTCCCGGACGGCGTCGTTGAAGCTGCGTGGCCGGGTTCGTCAGACCTCGTACTGTATCTCGTATTTCAGGCCCGCCACGTAGCGATCCAACCGCTCCGCGTCGCTCATGTCGTCCACCTGGTCCGCCAAGTTGCAGAATTTGCTGGTGTAGTCTTGGACTGAAGTCAGCTGCTTCTAGGTACGCAGCTGCATGCGAGCAGAGTCCGAGGCGGATACGTGCTCGAATCTGGTTCGCAAGGCGGCGCCCCACTCCTTCCATGTGCATATCGTGGCCGTCCCGAAAATCGATGCTGCCTGATGCGTGACAGGTGTTGAAGTCCCGTCGTTCGCACGTGCTATTCCTGCCGAAGTCCCTTCGTGTTGCAGCGTTCGCCTCCACCACTCCAGCGCAGGTCCTCGCAACAGTGAAACTGCGAAATTAATGCGGGTGGCGTCGTCATAAATCATAGTAGCATTAAAGAACACCTCCACACCGAACAACCATGCAGAAACAGTGACAAACTTGTCACTCGGGTTAAACGGGGGCGGGTTTGTCGGCTTGATTTTCACAAAAGCCGTTGCTGCCATCGGGGCCGTTGGCATTGCTGCTGGCGTCGCCGTCGTCGTCGCTGCTGCACGTGGTGGTACTGCACGCGACTGTTGTGGCGACTGTTCCTGCTGCGCCTGCCTCACTTCGTCCGCATCCATCTCGCCTTCCAGCTCGCTCCAGACCCGCTCATCTGGTGTAGTGCTGCTACTTGCGTCGTCCACGACAGGCGACTCCTGGCACGCTTCACCACGCGCCTGGTGTAGTTCGGCGTTTTCCTTCCGTAGACGCTCCATCTCTGCAGTCATACCCTGCAAGTTGGCCTGCATCGCACGGAACTGTTGCATGAACTCGTTGAACTCGGCCTGCTCCATGTGCCTCAGGCTTCGTCGAACGGGCAGGGGGTGGCTCGCGATTTTTCTGACTTCGGTGAAGGCGTTAATGCTATCGTAGTCGGAGTGGAATAATCAGATCTATTCCACGGGCCGACCGCTTAACAGCCCACCAAGTCTATCGCTCCCCTTCTACAAACTACCCCGGAAACGCGAGGGTAACCTAGGACTTTAGGCTCTGATACCAAGTGTTATAAGTTGTGAAAGGAAAGAGTGCGCAGAACTCAATAATGCGGAAGTGATTACAACGTCTGAATGAACAACGAGGCCTAGGCACAATATAGCAAGGCTAGCTAGGCCGAGGTCGCGGGGTCGCGAGATGGTTGGGTGCAGGTTCGGGGTTGGAAAACCCGAAAGCGACGCGGTGGTGGCTCGGAAGGCGAGGTCGGCGGGCCGAGCCTGGTTTTCCGAAAGTCGGGGTTGTACGCGTACAGTGTGACCCAGTAAGGAATCCGGAAAATTCCTTACAGTTACCTTTTTGTTTGCTTTAAAGTGTAGCAGTTCTGCTGATCACCAAAAATCAACCCGCAAACGAGATTCACCGTCCGTACCATACTGGTCTGATTGGCTTGACCACTGACCGACCGCCAAAATCTGTCTCTACAGTGACTACTTCCGAAAACTCGACGACACCTGTCCACCCTGGGCATCTACTGTACAAAACACCCGTCAGAATTTGAGACCCCTCCTCCACCGTCCCGCACCTGATCCCATCACATCACATCAACAATGCAGTCCCAGGAATACTGTAGCGCCGTACAGTAGTTTCTGCGTTGTGTGTGAGCTGGAGTGCCTTGGAATGGAGTGGTCTGCAGTGCGGTGGAGTAATTTTAGTGGGGATGGAGGAGAACCTCGACCGACAGCTGTTGCGCATGTTGGTCGAGTTGAGTGTCAGGTCAGGCAAGTCACCTTGGGTTTGGAAAGGCAGGAAGGAATCTGGCTATGTGCAAGCATCAGCCTCCAGCCTCCAGCCTCCAGCCTTCTCGCATTATCTTTCTCTTTCTTTCTGCATCTCTCATTTCAAGGCTGCTCCCCTCCACCACCTTTTTTGCCTGCTCATCATCGCCCCAGCCCGCCATCGCTAGATGTAAGGAATCGCAGGTTTGCGAAGCATAAGTAGGATCCACGTGGAAAAATAAGTACGGAGAGATTTATTAAACTGTTACGGCTCGTGACCTACTGAAATTACGGGCCTACCTGACAGGATCCTTACGACCGATGGATGAAGGTGCGACCCACGAATCCGTGGTAGCCCAATCTGCGTCTCCAGCCATGGAGTTGTCACCAAAGGCCAAAGCAGCCGACAATAAGGTATATAAGAAAGAAAAATCGCTCAATGATCGCGTCGCAACGATGACGAAGCAACTAGTATCGAAGACAGCGGTCTTAGGCGAGGAAATGGCGTCGAGAACGAAGGCCGTGGGTGCAGAATTCGTGTCCAGATCTGAAGCGGTGCGGGAAACGCTGAGAGGAACGGCTGCGGTAGTCTCGGGCGAGATCAAGGGAAAAACAGCGAACCTTGCGGGGGGGATGGTGTCGAAGACAGCGAATATCGCGGGGGAGATGGTGTCGAAAACGACGCAATTCAAGGAAGCCCTGAAGACCTCGCTCACCTCTCTAGGGAGCCGTCCGCAAGCCACCAGGTACGCCCAGATTAATCGCAGCCGTTGATCGGTCGTAGCTTCCGGGCAAGCGTAAAAGAACTGATCCGTTGGGAATGTCCCGCATTGCCTGAGATCGTGCAAATGCATATTTACTTGGTCGAGATGTTTTCTTTTCATTGCTCATAGCGCAAAGTATCTCTGTTCTGCGTCAGGCTTGGCTCTGGCTTGAGCTTATGCTGTGAGCTCCAGCACTGGTTTTCAGCTGATGCTGCAGCAGAATAACATTGCTCTCGTTTCCGCATCCCTTTTCCCGTTGCACTTGTGCTGCCGAACGCGACCCTTCAGCACGAAGATTGACGTTGACGTTGCAGAAGACGACTGCACCGAGAGCACCGACGTCTTGGCGCCTCTGCAGAGTCCGTCGAAGCACCGTCAGGCCCGGACGAGGCCCCGGGGCAACGCGTATCCTTCCCTCTGGTCCGACGTTGACCGTCTCCTTCCAAGCGATCCCCCCGCCAGTGATCCTAGCCCAGAGACAGGCGATGAGGAGGAATCGGACGGCACACATTCGACACGTGCCATCTTAACTCCTGACCAATCAGAGCCTTCGATTGCACCCGATCAGCTTCCAATCGGCTTCACGCTCCCCAGCACGCACGTGCCTGAGATGAACGGCCCAGATCATCCTGAGTCAGTGGGCGTTGACAGTGGAGGAGAGGGGTTTGTGGTTCCTCGGTTGGGGCACGAGGAGCACGGGGCGGGAGAAGGGGATGCGGGCAAGAAGGGGCAGGGGAGGGGTGAGAGTAGGCGCGCGCAGGAGGAGGAGTTCAGCATGAACCTGTGGCTCATGGGGAGCGGCAACGGGGGAAGCAGCACCACCAGCAGCACCGCCGGGTGGTTTCCCGCGAGCAGCTCGCAGACGCAGGTCACTCTTGCTGCCCCGGGCTGCGTGCTCGCCCCCTCCTGGAGCATCAGCGGATTCTCAAACACCCAATCGCAAGGAGGTGCGGCGGGGAAGGAAAGGGAGGGGAGGGCAGGAGCGGAGGCTGAGGTAGGAGGGGGTGGTAGCAGCGGAGGGGGAGCAGAGGGGGGGGATGACGCAGCAGAAGGGTGGCACCCCACGCCTCCCGCGGTGGTGCAGAGCCCGTTCGGAGTTTCCGCGCACCTAGAGGGGCCAGAACCGGGGCAAGCGGAGGAGGGCGGGGACATGGATCGGGTGTGGGAGGAGCTGTACGTGCAGAGGGAGTGTGCGTCACAGCCGTCCTCCCCCAAAGAGTCGAGAGGCGCGCTGCCCGCCATCAAGCGCCTACTGGTCGTGCGCAGGGAGTCAGTGCAGCGCTCAGACAGCCGTGACAGCCTGGCCAGCACTGACAGCCGCAGCAGCATCTCACGCCATGCCACACTCGGGAATGACGGCTGGCAGCAGCTGGACATGGCGGGTGGGGAGGGGGACGTACCACGGCAGCGGCGGCGGCGGCGGAGGCGGCATTCGATGGACTCGATCCACCTGGAGGCGGCGGGGTTGAAGCAGAGAGCAGCGAGCGAGCTCGCCATGCACCGCTCGCCGCCGTCGCCGTTAAGCCCGTCCTCGCAAGGCCCCTCCCTGCGCGCTGCAGAGGGCGCCCATGCAGGGTGGCACGGGCAGCCGGGTGTGAGGAGTGGAAGGCCGATTCCAGTGGCTCGTCCCGTCCCGTCGCCGCTACAGCCGCCCTCTCCTCGCCTGCCGGCGGTGCGATCTTCTCCGCTCATGAGCTACGAGCACCCAGGTCTGTACTCTCAGTCAATACAGTCGCCTCGGTCAAGGCTGTCGCCTCAGTCGAAACAGTCTCCTCGGTCACGGCAGTCCCCTCAGTCGAGCAATCCCCCGCAATTGAAGCAGTCCCCTCCGCTAAAGCAGTTCCCACCATCAATGCAGGTGCCTCAGCCAGTGCAGTCCCCTAGGTCAATGCAGTCTCCGCGGTCAATGCAGTCTCCCCAGCCGAGGCAGTCATCTCAGCCAAGGCAGTCACCTCCGTCAATACAGCTGCCTGAGCCAAGGGACGCCTCTCACTCAATGCGGTCGCTTCAGTCAAAGCATTCGCCCCGGTCAATGCAATCGCCTAAGCCAAGCCAGGACCCTCACTCAATCAACTCGACTCAGACAAGAGAGTCGACCCATTCAAGAAAGTTCACGCATTCACTCTCCCCGCCAGCAGAGCAACAGGCATCACTTTCTAGGGGCTCTTCTGGCCTCACACATGCCAAGCCATCGTCGCCCAAGGCCGCCAGTCCACGCAGAGTGATTGGCAAGTGCTACGGCCTCCCACATACCACCTCTGACCTGACAAATGCGTCCTATTTTGTCTCTTCTGATGCCGGCCACGCTCACCCTGGCTCCAGTGCATCGCCCCGCCGCCGTGCTGCTGTCCCAATCCATGCCCCGAAGCTGCAGCAGTGCATCACAGGCGCACTACCGGGCCATGAGGGGCAGGAGGAGGAGAAGGCGTGCATGCGTGTGCTGTCTGGGGATAGCTCGTGTGTGAGTGAAACCGGCAGCATGCGCATCTACCATGTTCCTTCTAAACCCATGGCACCCAGCAGCACCGCTCCTGATCGTTCCAGCCTGCATCAGAAGCAGCAAAAGTGCCAGCACAGGCCGGCCCTTGAGGTGCCCCCCAGTCCTGACGGCTTGTCGCCGCATGCTACTGGCGGACGGAGGCTGAAATCCGCACCAGTATCTCCATCCGGTCACCTTGTTTCACCAATTGCCTCTCCTGCTGTGGCTTCCTGGGACGAGCCATGCCGGATCGACCACAGAGCCTTTGTTAGGCTTTATACGGATGAAGGCGCTTCAAGTAACCGGTCTAGCATGTGGGACATATCACGGGAATGCGGGGGCTCTGAGAGGTTGGGATCCTTTAGTGACAAGAGGAAGCGGCGGGCGCAGAACTTAAAGAAGATGTTTCCATGGTGGCGTGCTGCACCTCCAGCACAATAGACTTCAGGGTTTAGAGTTTGTAGTGCATCTCTGTGTCCACAAAGCGCCAAAACTTGAGCTGTGGACCATGTTAGAATGTCCCCCAATATGTAGGGGACACGTGTGTACGATAGCATATCCAGTAAATTACCTGGCTTTTACCAGGAAATTCATCACCTGGCTTTTAACCAGAACATGATGCTTTACAATTGTTACGAGTGCAATTGAGTGAACGAACGAGAATTGCACTATCGAAGCAAGAGTACAATGAGCGAAGGCATGAGCGAAGAATATATATATCGAGACTACAGTGGTAACGGTAATGCACTGTGGTTGTCGCGCGACGGGCCTGGGACTGAGGTTGGGAAAAGTGTCGAAGCGGAGGCCCGGAGCGCGGGTTACCCGCCGAGCCGTGAGGTCGGGGTGCGACGTGCGAAGGTGGCTGGCGGATTGTCGATGCGAGGATTGCGAGTGGTAACGGTGCTGACTGTGGTGCTACAGTGATGTACGCGTTGAGCAGGGACGCGAAGTAAGGAAAAAGAGATTTTCCTTACACTACCCCCCCCCCCTTAAGGAGGTCCTCCTTACGAAAGCGCGTGTACATCCCTGACGTTCCGGCTGCGCAGATACTCGGTGAGGACGGGGTGGTTTTCGATTCTGTCCAGGGGAACCCAATTGTCTTTGGTGGGTGTACGGTCCTTCCAGCGGAGTAAGAACTCGATCCTTCGGGCTCCTCGAGGGTCGCGAACTCTGTGACTCAGGATTTTCTCGGGGGTGATGATTGGTTCAGTTGGTGGTCGTGTCATGCTGGCTGGGCGATTGCGTGGCAGTTGGCTCGTGGACGGGACGTAAGGGCGAAGTAGGCTGACGTGGAATGAGGGGCTGACGTACCAGTCAGCAGGGAGGAGGAGGTGGGCGGTGACGGGTGTAAGCATGTGGCTTATGCGAAATGGCCAGCAGTATCGGGGGCGGAGTTTCGGAGTGATGGGCAGTCGGAGGTTCTGAGTGTCAAGTAAAACTAAGTCGTCGGGCTGGTAAGTGACGGGTCTGCGGTGGCGGTCGGCGTTGCGTTTAGCGATGATGTTCGATTTTTTTATTGCGTCTACTGCCCGGGTCCGTGCTGCTTGTAATATTTCGGCGAACTGTTGCGCGCGTGGAACCGGGTTGTCGGGATTCGGGGTCATGGGTACTGTTGGGTCTTCTCCGTAATTCAGGTAAAACAATGACTGTTGGGTCGTGGCGGATGGGGCGTTGTTGTATGCGAATTCGATGAGTGGCAGTTGTTGTTCCCACGTGTTTGGGTCGTCGCACGTGGCCCGGATGAGCTGTTCCATGGTCTGATTTGTCCGTTCTGTCTGTCCGTCTGTTTCGGGGTGGTACGATGAACTAAACTGTAGTCGCGTGCCGAACTGCTGCCACAGGTTCCGCCAGAAGTTGCTGGTGAATTTCGTGTCTCTGTCACTGATGATCGATGCTGGTATCCCGTGCAGTCAAACGACGGTAGAGATGAAGAGGCGGGCTGTTTCTTCGGCTGAGATTGATTTTTTGCAGGCTGCGAAGTGTGCCATTTTCGTTAGTCGATCGACGACGACCAGGATCGCGTCATTTCCACTCGCCCCGGCCGGTAACCCCGTGACGAAGTCCATCGTCACCTGCTGCCAAGCACGCTCTGGAGGGGGGATTGGCTGCAACTGTCCCGCCGGCCGCTTCCGTGTTGACTTCATGATCTGGCAAGTGGGACACGATGCCACGTGTCGCTGCACGTCGGTCAACATTTCGGGCCAGTAATGATACCGCTGCAGCTGCTGCCGTGTTTTTTCTACTCCGAAATGCCCCGAAGTAACTCCGTCGTGTGCCTCCTGTAACAGTAATTCCCGTAGCAGTGTATACCCAGGTACCCAAATGCGGTCAGTCCCGGTTTTTACGTAATAGACTCCCTTTGCTGCTGCGAACTGCTGCGAATTTCCTCCTGTGAAGAATGGATCCGTCTGGTACCCGTGGGTGAATAGGCCTGTCAGTAGCGGGCTTGTCTGGGCGAGTAGTATTGCGTGGATCTGGGCAGTGGGGCGGGTCAGTGCGTCGGCGATGTTCGAGGCTCCCTTTTTGTAAGTGACCGTGTAGTGGAAGTTTGACTCGAGGAAATCGAGCCACCGAATCTGTCGTGGGTTGAGGTGGGGCTGTGCGCGGAGGTACTGTAGTGATCGGTGGTCTGTCTGTACTGTCACGTCTGCGCCGGTCAAGTAGCAGCGCCACACTTTGAACGCATGTACGATCGCGAGCATTTCGCGGTCGTGTATCGGGTAATTTCGCTCGGGCGGATGCAGTTTTCGTGACTCGTATGCGATGGGCTGTAGGCCGTTGCCGAAGTCCTGTAGCAGTACGGCTCCAATGGCGATGTCGCTTGCGTCTGTAACAACCTCGAAGGGGCGGTGTGGGTCGGCGATGCGCAGGACGGGCGGTGAACAGAGAACATTTTTCAGGGCAGAGAAGGCAGCATGCTCTTTCTCCCCCCACGTAAAAGCGACCCCCTTTCGCAGTAAATCCGTCAGCGGGGCAGTCAACTGTGCCATGTCGGGGACGAACCAACGAACATAATTAACGAACCCCAAAAAACTCTGCAGTTCCGTGATGTTCGTCGGGGGACGCCACGCTTTTACCGTATCCAGCCTTTTTGGGTCGATTTCAACTCCAGCCTCCGAAATAACGTGCCCCAAAAATTCTAGTCTGTCCCGAAAACACTCGCACTTAGAGCCCTTGGTGAGTAACCGATGTTCCTCTAAAACTTTAAAGACTGCTTCGAGATCCGCTAAGTGCTGCTGCTTGTCGCGACTGTAGACGAGGATGTCGTCGAGGTAAACTATCACGCATTTATCTAAGAGTGGCCTAAATGCCTCGTTCATGGTCATCTGAAAAGTCGCCGGTGCGTTGGTCAGCCCGAATGGCATCACAGTGTACTCGAACGACCCGTACCTAGTCCTGAAAGGTGTTTTGGCGCAGTCCGATGGTTCGACCCTAATCTGATGGTAACCTCCCCGTAAATCTATTTTTGAAAAAACCCGTGCTGTTCGTAGTTGGTCGATCAGTTCGTCGGCGCGGGGAATTGGGTACCGCGACTTGACTGTTACCCTGTTGAGCGCTCGGTAATCGATGCACATGCGAAACCCTCCGTCTTTTTTCGGTGTGAACAGTATCGGTGCGGCGAACGGTGACGAACTTGGTCGAATAAACTGCTTCTCTAACAAGTAATCTAACTGCTTCCTCAGTTCGTCGAGCTCGGGCTGTGTCAGTCTGAACTGGCACTGTACAGTTGGCTGTGCCCCTGGTTCTAACTCGATCCTATGATCATGCGCCCGCTGAGGTGGCAGTCCTTCCGGTAAGTCGTCTGGAAAAATCCCCGGGTACCGTTTCAATAGTTCCTGTAGTTCGGGCGGTACTGTTGTCAACAGTTTCTGAAAATCACTCGGCTGCTCTGCTTCCTCTACTACTGCGATGTCTACTGCGTACACGTTTGCCCCAGCAGCGACAGCCTTTTTCATTGTGATAGCGTTGACGTGTACCGTTGAAGACTCGGGCGACTGCCAGCGAGGTAGCTCGACCCAGTTACCACTACTTCGCACGGTGCAGCTACCCGTCGTCCAGTCAATTCGCGGGTTATATCGTCGCAGCCAATCACGTCCCAGTAAAATATCGTGCCCATCCAGTGTCGTTGCAAGCATTTCCTGTGTAAACCCGAAATTTCCCCCGCAGCGGACTTTGACTCGCTCTACCTTCTCCCGTATGGCCAGTGGCGTGCCGTCGACTAAGCGTGCGTCTATCTCCGGTAAGCAACGGCTAAGTGTCAGCTGCAGTTTTCGTGCGGTTGCGGTATTAACTAAACTGTGGCTTGCTCCTCCGTCGATAAAAATCTTCACTGCTGCTCCCTGTATTTTCCCGTGGATCAGTACTGGGCAATCCGTCGTTGTACCCTCCTTATTCATCCGAGCCCGATCGATGGCGTGAATCGGTACTGTGACTCGGTGAGGGTTGGTGCGGTTGGGCGAGCAGGCAGTCTCGTCAGTAGTTGGCCCAACTTCTACTGACTGCTGGCGTTTCCCTGCCTCTGAGACTCCCTTCCCTGCTCTGCTCCGCGGCGCCTTAGCTCCTCTGGGCATTCGCTCTTGCGATGGCCCGGCCTGTTGCAAGCAAAGCAGCGCCCCTTAAATGGTGCGGCAGCTGCATTCGTTGCAACATCGTTTACAGTGGCGTGCTCGATCGGTCCCCGAGGACGATGTCCGTAGTAGGACCCCGGTCTCGGTCGGCGTAGAATGTCGATTTTCTCGGCGAGCGCGAGAATCTCGTTGAAGTTTGAGAGTCCGCGCAGCATGATTTCGTGCGAGATATCCGGCTTCAGCCCTCCGACGTAACGGTCCACCCGCTCCGCTTCGTGCATGTAGCCGACCTGCTCGCAAAGTGCGAGAAAACCGCTCGTGTAATCTTGAACCGACCAGAGCTGCCGCCAAGTGCGCAATCTCTGACGCGCCGAAATAGAAGCCGCGATCGGCTCGAAGCGCGCCCGAATCCCTGCGCACCACGCATCCCACGTGCTGTATTGGGCGGTTTCGCAGAATGAACTCCAGGTGACAGCTGGACCCGTGGGCCCTTCCTCTTGCAACGGTGGCTCGTAGGCGCGTGGCGACGTCACAATGACTCGCCACCAGTCCATGGCGGGGCCCCTTAGCAGCGAAACTGCATACCGAATCTTCGCTGTGTCCGACTCGACGTAATTCGCGTCGAAGAAGACGTTCATCGTGAAGACCCACGATTGAACCGTCGGACCTCCACGCTGGCTCGGGTCGAAGCAGGGCGGGCGTTGCGGCTTGAGTGGCATTGGTGCCATGATGGTCTGTTCGCCACTTGTCGCCGCGAACTCCACGTGCCGACGGGCTTCGCGAGGCTCCCGCGGGCTTGGTGCGACCCTGTTTCCTCCCATGCCAGGCATCGGCTGGGCGGCGCCATCGCTGGCTGCGCCTGAGCGCTGTCCCACGCTGTTGTTTTGTGTTGGTGTGCCGGACGAGATGATGATCGGCTCGTCTGATTGTGCAGATGCGTTTGTCGGTGCGTGTGGTGGCGCTGGAGTGTTCATCGTTGATTGCTGACGCGCGGAGTCACGTTCCGCCGTGAGCGTCGCAATTTCGAGCGCCGAATCTTCGAGTTGGCGCACCAGACGGTCGAGCCGCTCCTGCGTCAATGTGGCGAGCGTGAATTCGGCCATGGCGGGGGTGTCGGGCGAGCTCAGCGAGAGCCTCAGTCGTGGCCGTGCGTGCTTACGAGAGAGCACTACGAGCGGCGGTGCTGTGTCGCTGAGGGACGTCTACCCCCCCCAAAAATTGAGATAGTGGGGAAGCGAAGGTGTGGGTGCGGTCCGAGAAGAGGTCGTAGGCTCTGAATACCAAGTGTTACGAGTGCAATTGAGTGAACGAACGAGAATTGCACTATCGAAGCAAGAGTACAATGAGCGAAGGCATGAGCGAAGAATATATAGCGAGACTACAGTGGTAACGGTAATGCACTGTGGTTGTCGCGCGACGGGCCTGGGACTGAGGTTGGGAAAAGTGTCGAAGCGGAGGCCCGGAGCGCGAGTTACCCGCCGACCCGTGAGGTCGGGGTGCGACGTGCGAAGGTGGCGGGCGGATTGTCGATGCGAGGATTGCGAGTGGTAACGGTGCTGACTGTGGTGCTACAGTGATGTACGCGTTGAGCAGGGACGCGAAGTAAGGAAAAATAGTTTTTTCCTTACAACAAGCAAGCATCCATTACATCCTGAATTGGGGAAATCCATTAATCTGTTCTAGACCATTTGTAGTGAAGTCCAAGGAGTAGCGCAGGGAGGTGTACAGCTGGGAAGTTCAGCAACATTTTGATTCCAACAATTTCACTCGCCGGCGCGGAAAGGTCGATTTGAACCCACCTTTCAGTTCAGCCCCCCCACCTTTTCTTGCGAGTTCGCCCATTTTGCGCCTTTTCGTTCCCCTCCCAAACAGCTGGCCCGCCCGCCATTGACTGACCAATTTTCGGCGTGGTTGTGTCGACCGGCCAACTCATTGATACTCAACTTAGGCCAGAGACGTTTTGCGTCGGTACTCAACCTCGATTTCTCATCGCTGATTGGTGCTCGCTTTTCAATCACACTTTTCACGCTAATAACACCCCCGAAACGTGTCGGAAACATAACGCAATTACCGAACTCAAAAAATATACTATTGTGTCGAGGTGCTACCTAAGTATAGACTCAACCCATTAAAATTTATATCAAACGCGAATGGCGTAAATATATAAAAAAAAGTCATTGGGAAAAAGGATGCAGTTTGGGAATAACTTAACAGATTAGGATTAACGGCATCATTAACCCTTCGTCGACCGTGGACCTGCTGTCCTCGTACGGAAGAAAATTAAAACCCCTCGGATGGCATAAATTCCAAACATCATGCGACAAGGTGTTTACGGTTAATTCCATTCTGACTGGATGCCTTTTAGCACGAGAGTTAATTTTAATTGCCCGGGGTAGGAGGCTTCGTTGGGCGGTGTCGTTTGTCCAAGCAGATAATCTTAAGCACTTGACGACTTCCTGTATTTAGGGTGAATATTTCCAAATTCCGTACTGGTTAGTATGTTTAAGTATGTTTCTTTTTTGTTGTTGGGTATGTGCGGAGCTGCTGGTGGTGACTTTGTTTTAAAAATGTGCTTATAACTAAATGACAAGTATTTGTAGTTACTATACTGCGAAATTGTTGGTTGATTACGTTTGCAAACTGCTTCTGGCATAATTTGAGTATCAAAGAAGTTGGCCGTTGTGCCGACATTTTCGCTGATCGTCGCACAACCGGACAGGTTTGTTCTCGAAGAATTCTCCTGCCTAGCTTTGTCAGGGGCAGCCTCGGACCAATAAGCGCGCGAGCTATAGATTTCCGTACCACCTGACCGGATTGTTTGGCAGATCTGTTGAATTGTTGGTCCCTCCACGGGACGCGCACTTCCCTCCAAGTTCCCTCGAAACTCCGCAGCATGGGTGGGCAAGCTTATGGGCAGGCGGTCGGCGGGCAGCGGGCAGCAGGAAACTGCTCCCTGGGTCTGTCTGGGCCAGCAGCAGCTGGCATGTGATGGGGAGAACAAGGCAAGAAAGGACGCTCACTCTCACGATGGCTGTCGCGGATTGCGCTGATCCGAGTCGAGTCATTCAATAATGGCGGAAGATCTTGATGTTAGTTGCCGAAGTGACGGCACACTCGATTCTTGTGCTGCACTATTAGGTTAGGTGTTTCGTCGTTCTGTGACCAGCAAGAGGCGTAATTAGGTAGGCAAAGAAGTCACTTGATTCTTATCTGCAAGCATCACTGTAGAGTGACACTCGTACCAGGATGGCCGCTGATTCTCTTCAAGAGCAGTCATCTTTCCGCGGCGCATCCTTCAATGGAGGGTCGATGAGGTACAGCATACAATACATACCTTTGACGCACTTTCCGTACTGTTTGGTCTGGCTTGAAAGCGTTCCTGTCTAGCTGATAGACTCAAACGGTGCTTCATGGCTCTCAATCAGCCCGCTCTGCTTTCCTCTCTACTCCTTCTCAAGTTGAACATTCATTTTCTTCTCTCTCTCAATTTCACTCTATCAGGGACCTGTTAAGTGCTGACGCGGGACAAATCAAAGAGGATCGTCCCGCGTCGCGAGGGGATTCCTGCGGGTGCGGAGCTCTCGAGGCGTCGGCGTGCATTTGCAGCACCGGCGCGTTGTCCCCCTCTCCCTCCGCGCGCAAAGGCACGACCAAGCCCAGCAGCTTCCGCTTCTTCGCGTCGCTCAACCGCTCCGTCAGAGTCGAGATTCCCGACGACACCCTCCCGCACCTGCCGGTTTCGCAGAGCCTACCAGACCTTCCCACAGACTCCGCCGCTCGTGGCGGTGGCCGCGACCCGAGAAGCACGTTGGAGCTCTTCCATTCGTCGTCGCAGCCGCCGCTATGGCAGCCCAGCTCGCCCGTGGGCGTGCGTAGCCAGTACGCGGAGGCGATTCGGGAGCGCGCGCAGCGCGCAATGGAGTCGCAGGAGGCGATGGATAGCGCGTGGGAGGACCAGCACGTCGCACAGATCGCACAGAGCACGCCGACGTCGCCGTGTCGGTCGCCCGGCGCCATGAGCATGATGTCGCCCAAGTCGCTCAGGCGAATGCTGCTAGCACCTGTCCTCTCGTCCACATCAGCGCGCAAATCCAGCAGCGCAGCGGGCTCGTGCGAGAAGGAGGCGAGGGGGACAGGGTCCGCGCGAGAGAGTGCGCCGAGAGGGGGAGGGTCCGCCAGCGAGCGCGAGAGCGGGCGGCGCACGAGCTCGTTGAAAGGCAGCGTCGAATGTCCTGACCGCGTGGATTGGTCGGGCGGGCTATCCAGTAGAGACTTAGAGAGAAGGCAGAGCGTTTCTAGCCCTAGAATGGCTCGAAATCTAACGGTAAGCGTGAAGCGCGCAAGCGAGAGCACCGCCGGTTGCGCCGACCTTGACTTTTTCTCCTCCGAGTGGGAATTTCCCGCCGCGCAGAGCGTACCGTGCGCGCGCACCGACGCGGCTGCGGACTCCCCCCCGGACTCCCCGCGCGCAGTCTTCGGGAACAGCTGTATGCCTCCGGCCGTCTCCGCTGGTCTCCGCGTCATCTCCTCGCCGCGCTCCCCCTCCCTGCACCTGCCCTCCTTTTCCTCCCTCTCGCATTCTGTAACCTCCTTGTCCCCGCGCTCCCCCTCCCGCCACGTCCCCTCTTCCTCCCTCGCGCTCCCCTCTCCGCGCGCCAAGGGCAAGGCCTCCCCTCCCGCCCTCCGCAGCGCGCACTCGTGCTCGGGCCCTCTCAGCCCGCAGGTTTCGCGGAAGGTTCCTGCGTGGGAGGAGGAGGAGGTAGCGGTGGTGGGGAGGCTGCTGGCAGCAGGTGTGGGGGAGATCGCTGTGCCCGCCGCTGGCGCCAATGGGAGGAACTAGAGGGGGAGGGGGGAGATCGTTGTCTGTGCGCCTGCTGTTCCCGCTGTGCGCGCTGCCGCTGTGCGCGCTGCTGGGAAGAAGTAGGGGTTGGGGGTGAAAGAGAGCGGTGGTGGGCGTGAGGAAGGGCGGTGGTGGGCGTGAGGAAGGGCGCTGGTGGGAGGAAGCAGGGCGGTGGTGGGAGGAAGCAGGGCGGTGGTGGGAGGAAGCAGGGCGGTGGTGGGAATTGGGAGGTTGTGAGATGCAAGGGAGGGAGGGAGTGTGATTTGTGCAGTGGCGGCTGGGGCTGACTGCTAAGCAGGGTAAAGGAACTGCAAGCGTGTGAGATGGCGGGAGCGAAGGGGCTCGTGAGACTGGCATGAGAGACGTGAGAGATCGTGGGCGGCAGGCTGTTCGAGTTGAATCTGGTTGACTGGCATGGCATCGCGTGTCTGCCTCGTACCCTCTCTAGTGCCGCTTCCTCTACCTAAAACATTTTCTGACAGTCTGACTCCCATTATCTACTCTTACCAATGACACTGACAGTAGTAACGTGTTTTCTCTTAGGAACTGTGCTCAGTGGATGTGTTTTTTGCAGGGGAGCGCACTCTCCTGAAATCAAGCGCATACAGTGGCACCATCCATCTAATGGAAAGGACGTGCAGTTTCACCAATTATTGGTACCCAGGTCCTTGTGGGCCATGTTCTCCTCCAGTGCAAACACAACAGCTCTTGGAGAATGTGAGACACCCAAATCACATGTCAGCCTGAGGCAGAATCATGATTGCATTGGTCAAAATCAGTATTTTGTTATTAGTAACTTTCTAGGTACATCAGGGGTAGGCACTTCACAGAGCAGGGAAGTACATCAAGAAGTGACATTGCATAGAAATGTCTACATTTGTCCTGGCTTAGGACTTATCCGCCACGTGAAAAAGGGGCAGCATTATTGCGATGGCATGGTCGTACTAACAGGCTTGCAAGGGAACTCTCTGCCGGGGAACGCACACACTCTTCACACCTCTGGCAGCAACGTCGTGCGGCGGAACAAGAGGCTGCTGCAGAGGTTCTGCCTCCTCGCTGCTATCCGGGGTGTCCGTTTCGCTTCTTCCCGCTGCTGCTCCTGCACTTACACCAGCAGCACCAGCATCAGCAGCACCAGCAGCACCAGTGGCGGCAGCAGCAGAAGCTGCAGCAACAGCCCTGGTAGTCACATCCATCCCTGGGGCTTGCCCACCAGAGAGGGAGGCAGCAGCGTGACACGCAGGGGAAAGGGGTGCCGGCCAGTCATGGTCCGAGAGCGAGTAGGTTCGGACCCGAACCACGGGGCTGAAGGCGACGCGCCGAGCCTGGTGGCTACGCGTGGAGGAGGGGGACGAGGAGGCGGAGCGCAGGCATGAGCGCGGGCGCACGGTTGGAGGGGTAGCAGAGGGGTGCAGGCAGGGGGGCGTAAGGGGCGTGCCAGGGGTGAGGGGCGTTAGGGGAGTGGGGGGCGTGGGGGGTGTGGGGGATGGGGAGTGGGCGCAGGGGGAGGAGGCAAGGCGGGGGATGAGCACGCGGGGCTGCGCGTGGTGAAGGGGGAGGGAGGCGTTGAGGGGATGCGAGGCAGAAGCGCGCTGCGCCATGGATTGGCTGCCGCGCTGCGGTGCTGGCGGGGCTGCTGGGCGAGGCAGGTGAGGCGACGACGCGGGCACGGCAGTGGATGAGGAGGGCGAGGGTGATTGCGAGGGTGATTGCGAGGGGGAAGGAGAGGGAGGGAGGCGGGTTCGGGCCTGCTGCTGCTGCCGCCGAGGCTGCGACGACGCCTGCCGCTGCTGCGGTGCATGTGACTCAACAGGCGGTGACTGTAACGAGGGAGGCGATTGCCGCTGCCGGCATGGGCCGTGTGCGGCGTGCATGAATGCGGGGCGCGCGGGCATGTGCGCCCATGCGTGCGGCAGACACCCGCCGTCCTTGGCTCCTCGATCGTGTCGCGACTCGCAGCTGCCGTTGCCCGCGGTTGCTGCCGCTGCGAGCGCCACTGGAATCTCGTCGTCGGCCTCCGCCACCTCCTCCTCCTCCTCTTCCACCACCGGCGCCACCGCGCAGCTTCGCAGAGCGCCCTGTCTCTCCGCCTCGTCCGGATATCCGCCCATCTCGCGTCGCTCATCACGGCCTGCTATGCGGGGGATGGAGGACGGCGCGCGGGCGGCGACAGGCGCAGACGCGGTGCGCACGAGCGCACGAAAGCCGCCGCGATGCGGATTGCAAATTGGATCTGACATTGCCGGTTTCACCTCGGGAGCGCTTCTCGACGCCAAATGTCGTTCTTTGTGCGACGGCGGCGTCTCGTCCGCGTCGAAACCCGCCAACAGCGCGCCGTCCGATGTCAAACTCCGCGAAAGCCGCCGCACTCTCCGCTGCTGCGACTGCCGCGCTTGACGCAAGCAGGACTGCGTGGCCGCATCATCGTCTCGTGCGAATGCCTCACGATCCGTTCTTCTCACACTGCGACACGATGATTGGTGCTCGACGCCGCCGGCGAGAGCAACAGTGCCAACCACGTCGTGGTGATCTGTTCGATCCGAATTTGCAGCACCCTTCGGCGGCGAACCACGTGGCGACTTGCGCCAAATCGAAGGCAGAGAGGAGATCGACCACGTGCGCGTCACTCCGTCAGGAGATCCTCCGCCGCTCGCCCCGGCAATTCCGCTGCTGGTGCGTGTGATTCTAGATGGCTTCGTTAGCGGGAACGACGGCGCCTTCAAGCCAAAGAGGCTCGTTGGTTTGTTAAGCGAACGAGATGGCGAGGATTCAGACAAATCGCCTGGAAGAGCGGCAGCAGCAGCGGCCGCTGCAAGAACGGTTTCCGCCTCTTCCTCCGCCTCCGCCCATGCCGATTCCATCGCCCTGGCGCGTCCGTTCGCCATGGCCGCCATTTTTTTTATCGCGCTCGCGTGCGAGCTCTTAACGGCAACCGGCGACGGCGGCATCCAAGTGAGCGACCCGCTTGCCGTCCGCACGTGCCAGTCCACAGGACTTCTGCCGTGGGATGATGCGACGAGTTTCGATGTCGTGGCATCTAATCCATCGAACTCGGAGGAATACGATTCGACGATGGAGTAAGTATTGCCTAAGCTGTCAAAGGCTTCTGACGATGGGTCACCGTCTTGGGGAATTTCGATTCGTAGCTTCGTCATCATGGCGTTTTTCTTCAAACAAGGGATCTAGTTAGTATTACCGTTCTTGCTTTTACTAAGAGCTGTTATCGTGACGCCAACAAGACGTAGAGAAAGAAACCTTGTTTGTCACCAGTGAGCGGGAGGTGAGGCGAAAAAACAGTGGAGTGGCGAGAGAGCATTTTAGAAGTGACGAGCTATGATGCAAGGATAGCAGTCCTACAATAAGTTGAGGGCAGATCGACATCTGATTGTGATGTTGAGGCGCCGGGTGGCGATATGCGGTTCTATGGGAGTTAATCCGGTTGATTTTGGTGCGGTGAGGCAGAATGAAACCACCTCCAAAGCAAGCAACACTGAAGGACGGAGGTGGTGGGTGGAACACGTCACTAGCGCCGCACGCTTGACAGCACCGCACGCGCGGCCAGGCTTGCAATAGAAGGTCACAGCAGCCCAGTCAAGTCGCGCATCGCACCGTTGCACGGATGACGGTGCGGGAGCCAAACCAGCTGGGCGAAATCCAAGTCAATACGAGTTTGTCTTTGCGCGGGTTGTCTGTTTTTTGTGCCAGAAAACGCCACAAGTGGGAAGTTGTCTGTTGCTGTGACAAGCGGAAGGAAAGGGGAGACGAGAGTTCCGCCACGCAAGAATTTTGGCTCCTCGGAAATCCCATGAGCGTTGGTGGGCTGTCCAGCTGGCTACCCGGCAGGCAGGCAGTGGCTGCTCTGTTGAAGGACAAATCTGCCAGTTGTACGAACCTATCTGCGCTGGAAAAGATTCCTTACCTCGCTTTCCTCGATCTGGGGGCGGTGGTGTGGTGGTGCACCTCGTGACTTCATCCCTAGAGCGAACCGCACTTGAAAGAATGTGTTCCGTGCCGTACATATCTTTGGGTGGTTCGCTTTCTCAGTGCAATCGACATGAGCGATGCCAATTTGAAAGAACCCGAAATTCAAGGGTGTTGATCTTGTACAGTCCATGAGTAGCATCTATGGCAGACTTGGGGCGGGAAAACTGACTGTTGCCTACAAATCACGATTTCATCCAAACACACAATCACCGACTTTTGTACCCCGATTCATCTTCCTCAGACCCCTGAGTCGCACAAAGAACACAATTGTCCTCAGGTCCTAGGCCAGGAGAGCGCAGCACACTCTTTGTTTGCCTCTAGAATTGGCTTCGATAGGTTTACAGAAGTCATGATAGAGAATCTAGATCGTTTGTAACATTCAGCTTACAGGCATTAGAACTCCTTTCCTGAAGGATAGAACCTCCCTCTAGTCAGAGACTGCACAGCATTTGCATTCAGATAGTTATCAGCTGTCTTTACATTAAAATCTTTGCTTCACTCCGTTTGGCAACCAAGATATCCAGCCACCTCAATTCTCTGCTGGTGGGGGAGGAGCCTCCGCAGACCCTTGAGTCCGGGCACTCTTCCTAACAGTTTTCACAAAGTCCGCAAACGACACATCCCGCACCCACCCTTCGGCAAACTCGTCGTCTCCAACGACCTCGGAGCACGTGGAGTTGAAGACGGCAAGCTCGTGCAGGCTGGGGTACCAGTTCTTGTGCACCTCACTGAACCCCGCGTGCTGCCCGTTGTCGTCCGTCTCCCGCACGTCATAGTAGCCCAGAATGCCCGCCTGCCATGCCAAGGTTGAACGGGGATTGGGAGGAGAGAATGTAGGGCATGGAGGAGTGAAAGGATGGAGCCATGTCAATGATATGCTTGATAATGTGCAAGCACAATAAGTAGCAGCACAAGGGAAAGGGGAGAGGCATGAGACGGACGGGACAGTGCACTAGACGTCAGAAAGAAGGAAGGAAGACGCGATGAAGGTCAATGCAGGGCATGCCAGGACGGGTGGAGAGCTGCCATCGACAGCAGCACAATGAGCCGCACCCAACACACAATGAGCAGCAGGGAGCAGCATGCAACGCAATGAGCAGCATGCAACGCAATGAGCAGCATGCAACGCAATGAGCAGCATGCAACGCAATGAGCAGCATGCAACGCAATGAGCAGCATGCAACGCAATGAGCAGCATGCAACGCAATGAGCAGCATGCAACGCAATGAGCAGCATGCTATGCAATGAGCAACAGGGAGCAGCATGCAACGCAATGAGCAGCAGCACCACTCAGCGCACCTTCCTGGGGTTGGTGAAGTGCGACCGCTGCCCCGCCTCCCCAATGCACGTCTCCTTGTCCCCCCCCTCGTCCGAGCACTGTGCATCCTTCCTCCGGAACGCCAGCCACTCCACCGCAAATGGCGCCGCCTCCCGCCGCCCCTCCCACACGCCGGGCGGCTGCATGCGCAGCCCGTCGCGGCACTTCACCGGCGACCACTCCTGCGTGCCCACTGTCAACCACGACCTCTCCTCATGCTGCTTGAGATACTCGAGAATGGAGGCGGGCGGCGGCACGAAGAGGTACGAGTCAGGGGAGAGCACGGTGACCCAGCGCGCGAGGAAGGCGGTGCTGTGCAGGCAGTCCAGCGCGCTGAGTGGGTGCGCGTCGTTCTCCATGCGGAAGGGCGCCAGGTGCCGCGTGGGGATCACCTGTGCCGTCTGGTTGGCGAGCCACGGGTCGAGCACAGAGGAGAGAGGTGAGCGTTCATCGAGCCGGCATCGCACAAGCGGACGAGGCGAGAGAGAATGACACATTTTGAGTGGACTGAACACACACCTGGTTGGAGAGCCAGGGGTCGAGCACGGCAGCGAGGTGCGCGTCCATGGAGCCGGCGTCGTAAAGGCGGAAGAGGGAGACGCCCACGTGCCAGTGGTACGACAGCCACTCGTACATGGGCCGCGGCTGCACCGCGTGAGCCAGGCGCACGGCGCACACGGCGAGGGTGTGCGGGAGGGCATCCTCCCTGGGGGGGTCGATCACATGCTCCTCGCCCTCCTCCTCGCTGGGTGGGGAGAGAGGGGGGGAGGCGGGGGGTGTGGAGCGGTTGAGGAAGGGTGGTGTGGGGAGCGTGACGGTGGGACCGGTGGGAGAAATTGGAGGCTCGGAGCGAGGGAAGAGTATGCACAAAGGGTGTGATTGATAAAGGTTCTAGACGAGCTATTCAAAAAACCAGAAGAGCTATTAGAGGTACCGGAAGGGCTATGCAAGGGTACGCACCGGAAGGCTCTGAACTCCTCCCCGGCGACGGTGAGAAAGAGATCCCCGCCCATGGTGCCCGTGGCCGCCTCAAAGTCGCACTGGGGGACGGCAGGCGGGCGAGGGTTAGAGGGGTGGGCAGCAAGGGGTGTTTCACGGGCTTGGGGTTTAAATTTAGAAACACGTTCACATGCAATGCAATGAAGCAGGTGGGATCTGTTTTGGGGAAGGATATTCTCCACTGTGGTGGGAAGGGAAGATGACACCCGGGATGAGTACGCAAGACAAGGCAAGGTGAGGCAAGGCAAGACAAGGCAAGGCAAGGTGAGGCAAGGCAAGACAAGGCAAGGCAAGGTGAGGCAAGGCAAGACAAGGCAAGGTGAGGCAAGGAAAGACAAGGCGAGGCGAGGCAAGGCAAGGCAAGGTGAGGCGAGGCAAGGCAAGGCAAGGCGAGGCAAGGCAAGGCAAGGCGAGGCGAGGCGAGGCGAGGTGGAGAGACACACAGCTAGATAAGCATGAGGCACGCACCTTGATGAGCACAGCATCGTAGGTTTCCCACCCGTTGAGCCCACCATACGCCACCTTGGCCTCGCCCTTGCTGCCCGTGCTGCTCGCATTGCCACCCTCCGCCCACACACACTTCAACTCGCCCCTGGTGCCAATGCCACGCCATGCCACGCCATGCCATGCCATGCCATGCCATGCACACACACACACGATTGGTCATGGCGAGCAATGGCCATTGGGGTCATCACCAGACAGTCACATCGTCACTCCATGGACTCGAATGAAAGCACCCTCCCACATTTTCCCCAGCGCCTCACATTCCCCCCTCTCCCCCACAGCACCCCACATTCTCCCCTCCCCAGCACCCCACATCCCCCCCCCCCCCCCCCCCCCCCACTCTCCCCCCCAGCGCCCCAGCGGCTCACAGGTGGTCTTTGAGGAAGTGCGCTCCAAAGCCCACGATGGCGAAGGAGCGCGCCGACAGGCGGTACGCACTGAACTGGATGAACCCGTGCGGGCCGCGTGCTATGGGCTGGGGGAGGGAGAGAAGGGGCGAAGCGGATGAATGGGTGGGCGACTGAGGGCGTGAGGGGGAGAAGCACAAGCGGTGTAAGGCAGGCAGGCACTGGGCACAGAGGCCGTCAGGCGGTATGCACTGAATTGGACAAACCCGTGCAGGCAGCACGCTATGGGCTGGGGGAAGGATGGGCGGGCGAATGCATGCATGGGTTGGGGACTGAATGAGAGGACGAAGGAGGGCGTGAGGGGGAGAAGCACGACGCGGGACTGGCACTGGGAGCAGAGGGTGGGTGGGCAGGGTGGGATCCAAGGCAGGGCGCACCTGGAAGGGCAGGGAGGGGCGCGAGACGTGGCGGGAGAGCGGCGAGATGCGCATCTCGTAGTCCGCATAGCCGCGCCACGTGATGTCCTGCACTCCCGCTGGCGCGAGAGACGCGTGATGTGCCACGTGTGCCATGTGACGTCATCAAGAATGACGCCATGGTGGAGGGGGGGGGAAAAGTATTGGGGCGGAAGAGGGGAAGGAGAGGAAGGGGGTTTCGGGGGGTGTGAATGAGGGGAACGGGAGTGGCAGATGACGATTTTCACAGGAGGAAGGGGTTGGCGATGCGGGAAGAGGGAAGGGAACAAGCAGGGCAGGGCAGGGTAGAGCAGGGCAGGGAGGGAGGGGCTTGCATAGCGTGTCGAGAAATAGCGGCGCGTCGACGATGGAGGGCGGGGGGCGCAGCGAGAGCGCGACGCTGAACGCCACGAGCGCCACCGCCAGCAGCGCCGCCACCGCCGCTATCACGCGCTCGCGCGCCGTCGATTTTTCCGCCATGGCCTTCGCTTGCCTGGCGGGGGGGGGGCGCAGGGGGGTTGGCGCGTGTGGCGTGCGGGGAAGGGGGAAATGGCGGAAACAGGCGGAAAGGGGGTAGTGTGTGCTGACGGGGAAGGGGAGTTTTCGAAGAACTATAGAAAACCTTAATCATGGGGACGAGAGGAAAGGGCGGAAAGAAAGGGAGCGAGAGGGAACAGAGATCATTGTCAAGCCGACTAAAAAATGAAGAGGAGAATCGACTGGATGATCCGCGGCGACGCATCTCGCGCGTCGCACCTACCTCTACCCCGCGGTTCCGCGCAAGGCGCGGTGGTCTGACCTGCCGACATTGGAGAGCAGCGATTGGGTCTCGGCGACGCGCTCGTGGAAGCTCTTGGCGACGATGGCGGGCACGTTGGGCACGCGCAGATGCAGATGATCGTCGTCCGCTGTTATCGACCCCATCGCTGCGCCTCACACCTCAATGCGCGTCGCTGTTCAGTGCGCGTCGGTGATGCGCGGGCGCGCAGATGCAGACGCCGATGGCGGTCGACTGTCGTTTGCCGGCGGCTCGGAAAGAGGATCAGACGCGACAACCCCCTCGTTGAAGCAACGCTTAGCTCGTTATTTAAAGGCAATTTCCGAAACTAAAAACCGCAGCAGACACTTAGCTAAGAGTCGCGCACATCAGGCATCGCATTGATCGTCGTTCACACCAGCCACCAGTCGAGTCGTGTCGGCGAGAGTCATCGCAGCCGAAGCGCATCCACGCCGCGGTACGACAAGTTTAAATAACCTAACCGAAAACTGACGCGTCAGGCTGCAATGACCAGGCTGAGCAGAGGCGACCGTGAAATGCGGAGAGCGAGAAGTAAGAGCGATCAAATGTCAGTCCGTCGAATTGTCGCGTGGGCGACGGGCGAGGAGTTTGGTTGGTGATGAGTAGGCGGGCGAAAACTGGGATTGGTCGGGCGCAAGCGAGCGAGCGAGTGACTCTTGTGCACGCACCACCAGCACAGTGCACCACAGCACGCGCTCGCTCGCTCACTCGCCACGCCAGTTGAGCTGGTGGTCCTGAATGACGCACACTTATGCGCTGTACTGTACACTGTACGCGATGGCACTGGGATACGTACGGATGTTACATTTGAATAAGTTTTGTGTGTAGTTTTGAACTACCTAGAGTTCAGGTATCAAAACATTTTGCTCTTTAAGCAACACATTGTGCTTATGGTTACCCCATTCAGAAATCCTTGCCATTTCCTAACGGACCAACAAAACCTCCAAAAGCCCTCCACTTCCTACCAGCTCGAACACTTCCCATCAATCTCCATCCACACCCCCCTATCCTCCTCACGCCGCCCACCTGGTCTTCTCCCTCCGCTTCTGCAGCTTCGCCCTCCTCTTCTCCTCCTCCTTCCTCCTCACCTCCTCCTGAATCTTCTCCCTCTCCTCACGCTGCAACCTCTCCACCTCCTCCTCCACGCCCTCCCTCCACTCCCTCCCCCTCTCCTCCACCTCCTCTTCACTCAACTCCCCCAGCTCCCTCACCCACTCCCGCACCTCCTCACCCTTCTTCACCCCTTTCAACGCATCCACAATCCGCCCACCGCTCACAAAAAACGTCGTGGGCTGTCCGTTACGCAGCGTGTTACCAGCAGCAAGCAGCCCTGCCTGGGGGTCCTTGAACCGCCCCACCACAAGCCCCTCCACGGGGGGGTCTGATAGCAAGTCCAGCAGCACAGTCTTCATGGAGCCGCACGCGTGGCACCAGTCCGCATAGTGCAGCACCACCACCGCCTGCCCCTCCACCCTGCTCGGGTCGCTCAGGCTGATTTCCGGCACCCGGGCGGCGAACTCCGTCTCGATGCGGCGCTGCTCCTGGGCGGCGCGCTGCTGCTCGTCCTGGCGCTCGCGGATCTTGCGCTCCACGGCGGCCTTCATGTCCTTCTTCGCGCGCGCCAGGGCTGCCCCCTGCAGCGCGCCCTGCTCCTCCACGAAGGCACGCAGCGATGCCATGCTGCGATCGCCCTGGAGTGGGAGGAAGGGGGAGGGGTGGGGTGGTGTGGAGGGAGAAGGGAAGAAGGCGGGTGAGAGGGAGGCGAGAGGATCGGAGTGGGGGAGGGGAGAGAGGAAGGGGTGAGGAGGAGGCTAGGATGGAGGGGCATGAGAACAAGCAAGATCAAGAGCATGAGCACGGCATAACTTGTTTCTCACCGAGTATTCAGCGACCATCTGCCCCCCGTGGAACCAGATGAGAGTGGGGAAGCCCTGGATGAAGCCCACGGCGGGGTGCTTCTGGTGCTGCGTGGCCAGCAGCGCCGCCACCCCCACGCCCGCCCGCCCCGCCTGCTGCAGCTCGTCCGCCAGCTGCGACCACACCGGGATCAGCCGCTTGCAGTGCCCGCACCTGGGGGGAGAGGGCGTGGGGGGACGGGGGGGGGGGGGAGAGGGTGGGGAGAGATGGTTTGGGGGAAAGGGAAAGGATCAGGAGAGGAGGGGTCTCAGAAGAAGTGGGGTGAAGGGGCGGAAAGCAGAGGAGCAGGGGAGAAGGGTGGCGAGGGGGACACTGTGATAACGCCGAGCCACGAGAGGGGGAAGTTGAGAGCTGAGAGTTAAGTGTTGAGCTGACGGCAGGCAGGAGGTGAGATGAGATGAGCTGCACCCACCATTCCGCGTGGAACATGACGAAGGTGTGTCCGCGGGTCTTTTCCTGGAAGTTTCCATCAGTGAGCTCCACCACGCTCTCACTGAACGTGGGCTCCGCGCCCTTCCCCTCCTCCGCGCGCTGCGCCTCCTCCTCCGCCCGCCGCGCCTCCGCCTCTATGCGCCGCGCGCCCTCCGCCAGGTCCGCCTCCCCCAGCTGCGCCTGCTCCTCTATGAACGCCTGCAGCGACTCCCGCGACCTGTCCCCCTGGGGGCGCGCCGGGGGGGAGAAGGAAAGGGGCGGGCGAGGGGAGGGGAGTGGGAGTGAGAGATGGGAAAAGATTGAGCATGGGGAATGAAGGAGGTTGGAGAGCGGGAGTGAGAAATGGGTGAGAGATAGGAAGGGCGTGGATGGGGCGGAGAGAGTAGCGGAGTCGGGGGGGCCTGGGGGGCTAGAAGGAAGTGAAAGGGGGCGCAAATGCGGGTAAAGGGAGCAGAGGGAGGCGCGTGAATGCGCACACGGAAAGGTGCGCGCACTGGAAGGGGGGTGCACGGAAGCAGAGCCGGAAAATGCTGCAGCGAGCGCTAAGGGGGGACGCGTCTGAAGCGCCCGCGCGTGCCCGCGCATCCCCTACGCCGCCCCAGCGCCCCTCATGGCGCGGTGCCCCGTGCTACTCCCCTCCCCCCCAACTTTCCCTCTCCCCTCTTCCTCCCTTCACCCCTCCTCCCCATCCCCCCCAGGCTCACCTCGTACTGCGCGACGGGGCGCCCGGCGTGGAACCAGATGAGCGTGGGGAAGCCGCGCACGAGCTTCGCCGCGGGGTGCGCGCGGTGCTCCGTTGCCAGCAGCGACGCCATGCTGACGTCAGCGCGCCCCGCCTCCTTGAGCTCGTCCGCGAGCTGCGACCACGTGGGGATCAGCCGTTTGCAGTGCCCGCACCTGGGGAGGGGAGGGGAAGGGGGTGGGGGTGTTGGGGAAGGAAGGGAGGTGGAGACGGTGCGACGTGCGCGTGGGGATTGAAGGGGGTCGCGGGAGTGAACGGGAGAGTGCGATGGATCATCGTGCGGGAATGAGCTGCTTGCAGCGCCCCGGATTATCGGCAAAAATAAAGGGGATGCGGGGCCGGAAGGGCGAGCCGCGAAGCAAAATGCAATGTGGTAATGAAGCCACGTAGTGGTGCGTATTATTAGCGCGAGGGAGATCCATGGCGTGGGCGGCAGCGGCGGCGGACCATTCGGCGTAGAACATGACGAAGGTGTGGCCTTTGGTCTTCCGCTTGAAGTTGGCGTCCGTCAGTTTCACCACGCTCGCGCTGAACGTGTGATCGCCCTCCTCCGCCGCCGCCGCCGCTGTTGATCCGAGTAGCACGAGTGCCGCGACGGCCGCCCATAGCAATGGACTCGCGCGTGCACCGCGAGCCATGGCGGGATATTGGTGGTGACTAGTTTGATGAGGTCAGACAAGGAACTGCAAGGAATGGCGTAAGGAATGCAAAATGTGGCAGGATTTGAATTTCCGTTTAGATTTCCGTTTGAAAATGTGGCTGGATTTGAGTTTCATTCCTGTCCTGAGCTACGGGGAAAGAGGCCGACGGCAGTCGAGCGGGGGTCGAGAGCGGGGTGTTGGGGGGGTGAGCCGGGGGAAGTCAAGAGATGAATGGGGAACATCAATCGACGCGATAAAAGCACTGTGGTGGTACAACACGCGATAAGAACACTGTACAATTTGCACAAATCAGTGGTGATGAATTGATTGTGGGAGAAGGTTAGGATCTCAAAAAAGAGTTGCACAAGGCACTAAGCTCGTCCTTGTTCTCGTCGCACATTTCTAGCGACTTCAAGGCTTCGGCAGCCACATCCTTCTGCAAACAAAAGACGCAAGACAAGTGCGAACGAGGATCCATGCACGAATCAAGCCACATATGATGAGAGCAATGAAAGAAGAGGAGTGGCGCACACAGATTCAAGCAGAGAAAATGAGAGACTTACAGGAATAATGCCATCTTTGGTTCGATTCACTACAAGGTCCTCCACTACGTCTTTAGTGAACTCGGGGTGTCCCTGCATGCACAACACATGCTCCCCTATAGCAAACATCTCAATGGGCGTGCGCGGTGACGATCCCAGGAGAACAGCTTCGGGAGGCAACTCCAACACCTGCAGGGGGAGAAGGAAACAGATCTATTGTGCTGGTTGTGGCGGTCGCGGCGTACAAGCGAAGCCTAATAACAGCACAGGCCAACAAGTAACTTGAAAACTTCTTCCTTGTCACATTTCCCCGAGTGAATGCAAAACGGAATTCACCTGATCCTGATGGATCTCCAGAATCTTGAAGGACGATGGCAGGCCGGCAGCATATGGCAGCGATGCCACGTCAGCAGTGCAGTGCACGGGCTTGATCCCCAGCTCCCACCCCGCCGCTGCCCGCCCTGTGCGCCCCCCTAGCGCCCTCCCCACCACCTGCATGGCGCTCATGGGAGGGGGGTCAGGTCATGAGGGGGATGCGGGGAGGGTGGGGCACATGATGAGAAGAATGCAGGGATGGTGGTGAGAGGCATGGGCGAGGCATGCGGCAGGTGCATAGAAGAAGGGCACATGGGGATGGGCACATGGGGATGGGCACATGGGGATGGGCACATGGGGATGGGCACATGGGATTGGGGCACATGGGGATGGGCACATGGGGATGGGCGCATGGGATTGGGGCACATGGGGATGGGCACATGGGGATGGGCACATGGGATTGGGGCACATGGGGATGGGCACATGGGGATGGGAAACGGTAACAATTGGTGTCATTTTGCAAGTGAAGCACCTGGTGGCCGAAGCAGACGCCCAGGATCTTGGTGTGGCGGCGGTGTAATTGCTGCAGCAGGGCGCAGAGCTGTAGGATCCACGGGTCGTCCGCATGCGCGTCGTGCTTGCTGCCCGTCACCACCACCGCCTCCACCTGCCCGCCCGCACAGCATGCCATGTGTGGCCCATGCCATGTGTCCCCCATGTGTGCCCCATGCCATGCGTGCACATGCATAGTGCAGGGGAGTAGAGCAAATGCATGATGCATGGGATGCATGCATGTGTAACCCATTACGAAGGATCCGTGATACATGGTGCATGTTGGCGGATACATGGTGCAGGATTCACAACTTGTACAGGAATCACACATGCGTGCACCCGTGATCCAGCCTGTACGCACACCGACCGATCAGCACAACAACAACCCTCTGTACGCTCACCTCCTCCAGGTCCTGCGCGGAGGGGAACTGCCCGTCCACCACGGAGAACACGTCCCACCGCTCCCCCGCTTCCCCTTCCCCTGCCGCCTTCTCCCCCTGAGCGTGTCCGCCATCCCTGAGCAGCGAGAGGAACATGCCGCTGTAGTCGCCGTACCGCTGCTGTGAGTACGGACTGCCGCGCGGTTGAGGGCGGGTGGGGGGAGGGACGGAGGAGAGACGGAGGAGAGACGGAGGAGAGACGGAGGAGAGACGGAGGAGAGACGGGGGAGAGACGGAGGAGAGACGGGGGAGAGACGGAGGAGAGACGGGGGAGACACGGAGGAGAGACGGGGGAGACACGGAGGAAAAAGGGCGAGGTACTGAGGACGACGGGGAAGGAAAGTAACGTGACGACGAGAACGGTGGAGCTCAATTCCAACGGCATGGCGCGCTGCATGTACCAACGGTGGAACGCACCGCCACGTGCACTGGGAACAAAGGCCTGTAAAAAATGGCTCCAGTCGGATTCGAGGGTCGCGGCTCTCAAGGCACCTGCTGTGGCCGGCCAGCAGGATGGCGAACCGACGAGTCCGGGTGCGCCGCCGGCTTTCCTGGCCTTTCGCCGCGTCGCTTGCCGTCAAGTCGTTCGTTCCACCCATGGCCCGCGGCACGCAAGCAGAACGGGTGAGCGGCGCGCCTGATGCGCTCGACTGTGGCCTCGCGGCGTGGCTTGCCGATGGTCGACCGATATGCACAGAGGCGAATTCAACGAGACGGTTGCGAGGAGCGAGGTTCGGTGCCGCTGAACTGCCTCGACGGTGCGACGCTGTCTTCAGCGCAGAGCATGGCGGTGTAACACGGAGGGTTGTCGCAACCATGGGAGAGCTATGGCGCTTCGCAGCTAAAAAAGTCGCGACAATACCTCGGCCTATTTTCTCCTAGGAATTGCGTTTGGAGGTCTTGCGTGCAGGCATCAGGTCGTCCACTGGGAGAGGAATTCGGAAGGAATGCCCTAGGCTGGCTGCAGCGCTTGGTATTCCACAAATTGTACAGTGAGTGATTCAGTATTTGTTTTATGTCAGCCACGCTCTTACATTCTTTTGTTAGCCAGCAGTCATGTTCCCACTTGCCTCAACCTAGCAGCAGTGAAACCTTTGTTACATGAATTCTTGGCACAGGCGTAGCCGAAGCCCAGCTTTACAGCACAGGTACACTCACAGGCAAAACACAAACGGAATTTGGTACCTATTCTATAGCAGCACAATGTGATACTCTCTGCCTGCCAATCTGCCTCCCTGCCTGCTCTTGCCTGCACCCTACACCCAGCCATGCAGCCACACTCCTGCTGCACCTGTGCCTGCATCCGTCCTTGCAACAGCAAGTGCAATGAGAGCAACTGTACCGCACTCCACCGTAACCAGCTCCACAATAACCAGCTGAATTGTACCGTATCGCAGATTACACCTTGAAGCCGCGGCTGTTCCTGCGACCACGAGCCATTTCCCGCTTGCGGCCCTGGCTGCGCACATATGGCCTGCAGAGAGGGAGAGGGGAGGCGGTGGGAGGGGACAGACGGAAAAGGGAAGGAAGAGGAGAAGGTGAGACAGGGTGAGAGGGGTGCCATGGTGAGAGGGGTGCCATGGTGAGAGGGGTGGCATGGTGAGAGGGGTGCCATGGTGACAACACAACAGGGAAGGGTGGGAGCAGAGGGCGACGATGTGGAAGGGAAGGGCGGGACGAGCGTCTTTGTGGCCTGCATTATTCTGTGCGCTGCTGCTGCTGCTGCTGCTGCTGCTGCTGTATCTGTTTCTGCTGTTACTGCTGTTGTTTCTGTCTCTACTATGCTGCTGCTGCTGGTGCTTCTGCTGCTGTCTCTTCTTCTCTTGTTGATGCTGCTTCTTCTCCTTTTGCTGCCAATTCTGCTGCTGATTCTGTTTCTCCTGTTGCTGCTGCTGCTGCTTCTGCTTCTGCTGCTACTGCGTCTGCTGCTCCCCCTCCCTGCATAAATCGCTGCAACGAAAATCCTTGTGTGCTGCTTCTTTGCTCCCACTCCGCCCTGCGCTACCTCTCTCTGCGCTCTAAATCTCCTCCGCCCTGATTCCCATGCGTCCCCACCCCGCTGCGCTCCAAGCCCCTGCCCTTTGCTCCTACTGCCTGCCGCCTAGTCGCCCACCCAAGCTGTCGGCTCCCTCCTGTCGCGCGCACCACGCCTCACCCCACAGCTCACACACGCACGGCACACAGCCGACAGCTCCTAAATTAACGGATCGTGGCGCGGTCCAGTAAGGCTCGGGAGGTTCGCAATGCACGAGGGATCAAGGGTGGAGAGCCAGAGGGAGAGCGAATCGGAAGCAGGTGCGGCGGGCACGGAGGGGACACACGGGCATGGCGGGGACACACGGGCATGGCGGGGACACACGGGCATGGCGGGGACACACGGGCATGGCGGGGACACACGGGCATGGCGGGGAGGCAGCATGGAAACAGGAGGAGCACTTGCCTGGTGTTGCTGTGGGGCACACCGGGCGCGGGGCCGAAGTGCTTGAACGCCTCGCGGCTCGTCACCTTGCCGCGGAGCAGCAGCTGCGCGCACGATGCGCGCAGGTACGTGGAGAGACAGGGGAAAACGGGAACAGCGTGGAAAAAACCAAGGTCAGGGGCACGCAGAGATTGAAGGAACGCCTGTAGAAAGTACGAGAAGGAGAGGTGGCGGGAAGGTGGAGGAAGAAAGGGCGAGAGGCGGGGTTGCGGAGGGCATACGCAGTTGTTGCCGGTGGGCCGCTGCAGCGCGAGCTGGTCGAAGGACAGGCACTCGCCGCCCGCCTTCTCAATGCGCGCGCGCGCAGTGGCGGAGAAGGCCAGGGCGCAGACCTTGACGCCCTCGCGCACGGCGTACAGGCGCTTGTCGTCCGTCACCTTGCCCACCACCGTCACCACCGCCTCCGCGCCCTACGCGCGCACCAGCGGAGTACCGTGGGGGACGGGAGGGGAGGGGTGTTTGAGAAGTGGAGGGGAGAGGATGGACGAGTGAAATGGGAGAGGGCGATAGTGGAATAGTGAGGGGCCGAGAGGGCGAGAAAAGTGAGGGGCCGAGAGGGCGAGAAAAGCGAGAGGCAGTCAGTACGGGGCGAGGTGGGACGAGCGGTGATTAAGTGGGATGGGACCACGGAGGAACGCGGTACAATGGGTTGCAAGTGATGACGCTTGTGACGGTTCCGACGGAAGGACCGTGCTGTGGCACTCGCTGCCCGATCATTCCCTCTGAATTCATTCCCGTTTCCCCTTACACCCCGGCCCCCCATCTCCCCCGAATTCTACTCCAACCTTCCCCGTCCCTTAGCCCCCCCACGGCGCGGACCTTGTTCTCGCCGTATTCGAGGACGCGCGAGAGCGCGACGGGCGGGCGGTTGGTGCGGCTCATGAAGAGGCGGCGCAGCACCACCTTGTTGAACGGGCTGCCCGTGCGCCGCGCCAGGAAGCGGTAGATCTGCCCGCGCGCGGGGGGGGGGAGGGAGAATGGCGGAAGGAAGGGGTGCGCCGGCGAGAAGGGGAAGACGGGGCGGGGGGCGAAAGAGAAAGGAGTTGAGAGAGTGAAAGGGTGGCTGAAATTGAGTACACGCGCGTGAGCATGTGCGCAGGCGCGTCCATAAATGAAAGCGAGAGCGAGATGGGCGGGTGAGAGAGGTGCGGGAACAGCGGTCAGCGGCGAGAGCGGAATGAGGCGACCATGCGAGATGCCATGGCTAATCCATTTTGAAGTGCGGCACTGGACCGAATATGGGAGGCTGTTCACTGGGGAAAGAAAATGGCACTACGCAGCTGGCCGATTTCGAGTTATCCACAGCATGCGGCACGCAACCCCAGCAATGCACGAAGAATGTGACTTCCACCGACTGACGACTGTTCTACACACCATGCAGAACACACCAAACGCGCTCATTACCCACGCCAAGGCGTTTGGAACCGCTGCAAGACTGCATCGCACGTGTCACATTGGCGCAACGCGGCGATTGCTCCAGAGTTACAGACGACATGCCGATGAAGGATGAAATTCTAAACGTTGCCAGTCTCGCCTAAACTGAACCCTAAAGATCTACCCGTCAATCCAAAGCTATCGCTCCGAAAATTATATCGATACACCGACATGTATGCCGCGATCGCTCTGCAACGGCCTCTTCTACCCAGGCTCTAACAGCGCAAATTCCATGCCTTCGCAACACGGCAGATTTCAAATAAAAGCCTATCATGCAATGATCGCAGGCGGCTTCTCAACGCACGCACGGGCGGCGCGCGACTAACCTTGACGAGGAGGAGGAGGTAGGGATTCCGGCTCTTGGGGGCCGTCCTGTGGGTCTTCTTGTTCCGCCCGCCGGCCTTCAGATCAATCGCCTGCAGCACGGCAAGGGGGACGGAACGACGGCACGCCGTCCGGTGAGAGACGTCATCAGCAGCTAGGGTTTGCAACTAGTTCGAAAAAACGGGGAACGCATGATTTTTGCACTAGGAGCCGACGCCCTCTATGGCGACATGTTGGACTGGTGTGGAGTTGAGAAAAGATCGGGAGCATATACGCGACCAATCCATTACAAGCCCGAGGCTAAGGGCGTAGCGCGTACCATGTCGGGCCGTGTGGGTGTCTAGAGTAGAGCAACCAGAAACTAGGGAGGGGAGAGAAAGGGCGGAGAGAAGCACAGCAGAAGAGCTTTGTTGAGCCGCTGCTGCCAGAGCGCTGGGGAGGCCATCCAAGGGCGGGCTGCCGGTATGAGAGCGACGAGAGGGATGGAGGGACGTGTGCGACGGGGTGAACGGCTCGAGTTCGCTCGGGTTACAATGTATATCGCGAAAATGAGTGGAGGCAATTTTTGATGTCGCGCGCTTGCTGGTGGTCATCCACCTTCAGTTGTGACCCCGTAAAGTCAGCTCCGATTCACGTGAACTTGACGGCCTTCCCCTTTTCAACGGATGTACTGGAAATTAGCTAGTTAACTGGATGTAGTTACTTCGGATAAGTTGCGATAATGTGGAATGTGAACTGCCCCAACGTCATACACGATCAGACGTACAGTAATTAGTGGTGCCAAGGCTGTACACTGCACAGCAACTGTTTACAGCGGCATGACTGCCAGGCCTAGAGTGGTGTGTGCGCTCTCGGCTGTTCACGTTTCGGAGCTTCGGTACCTGGCTCGAGTACCGAAGCACAAATTCCCTCACCGCGCTGGGATTCGGGAGAACATGCTTCAGCCCCTGCTCTCCCCCACCACCTACTGTAAATCTGGTACGGTGTTACCCGTAGTTCACGCTCCGTACCCACTGTCGTCGTGACGAGCCTGTCTGTCCAGCGTCAGGCTGGCCTGTCCACAGCCAATGACAGCTCCGCGGCCCAACCAACCTGCCATCCACGCCATGCTTCACGTTAGCTCCGTGTGTACCACACAACCATGGCCTCCCCAAACCGTGCAAACTGTTCTCCGGTCTCTTCTGCTTCTCTGATCATGTTTATCCATGGTTCGTCGAGCGCGGTTCTGTCCCGTTGATTTCGGTTTGGAACGGTTTAGTGTTTCCACCGTCTTAGACCAATGCTTACAAAGTCAACCCTAGACAAATAAGACATGGCTCATGCTCACTGTTCTTAGCTCCCTCCCTCCCTGCTGTCTTGTTAGGAAGGCAACAGGTTCGCATGGCTGTCATTCCTTCTTCTCTCCACATCACTGTATCCCGGTTCGAAGCAGGCTTCCTTGTGAGTAGGAAGCGCTTGTAGGGCAGGCTAGGCATTATGCCAGAGGAAACATTGCCTAGCATTCTTTTCTTTCAATCGCCTCTTGTCTTCTCGTGCCGTGTGGCGTAAGCAAGCGTGCCCACCTTCGCTTTAGCATATGTTTTTTTCTGTTTTATCGGAATTCGTTCAGCAGCGTGCTGCCCCGCTCATCCTGCGTGCGTCAGCGTCTAACGTACACGCCGAGTGCGCAGCTTAGATTCATGCTATACGTGTAGACCATGCCATCTCGTCCGTTCTGGTGTCATCAGTGCGCCACGGTGCGCTCGTTAACAGCTCCTTCCAACGACGCAGAAGCAGCGGAGGTCATCTGCGCGTGGTGCGGCGGCGGATTCGTGGAGGAGTTGACAGCTGGCAGCGACATCGACGGCGGGGAGCACGGCCGCCACCACAGATGGAGCCACCGCGGATCCGACCACGCGCGCGCTGCTGCTGCTGGCGCGCCCGTGATTGACCTAACAGAGGAGTACACTGGCAACGCGCATGCCGGTGCGTCGAGCGGGTTCGCGAGGGAGGCGCGTGAGAGCGCGTTCGCGTGGGACGGCGAGAGCGCGGGCGATGCGGATGTCAGCGCAGGCGAGACGGCCGGGGTCGCCGCCGGCGCGTCGCTCCGCCCCGAGCGGCCCTTCCGCGGATTCGTCCGCCGGCGGCACGTCGGCGTGGGTGCTGACGTCAGGTCCCCAGGCCCGTCTGCCGGCGAAGCAGCGTTTCGGGAGGCCAGCGGGTGGGGCGTGAGACCCGCCGACGATGACGGCCGCGCTGCTGCTGCTGCCGGTGGTGGCGTTAGCCGTAGTGGCAGCGGTGGCGGCGGCGGCGGCGCTACCAATGGTGGTCCATCTGCGACCGCTGCTTCCGCGTCCGCTGCGGCTGGAGCGAGCGGCGAGGCGGAGGAGGGCCACGGCGCAGCGCGGAGGCTGGAGGGCGCGTATCTGGGGCTGGCGAGGATGCTGCGAGACATGGAGGACCGCGTTGACCCCGAGCGACTCGCTGACGTGGCCGGCAGGGAAGCAACGCTCGGTGCTGCGTACGGCAGAGGGGGACTGGGGGGAAGGGCAGGGGGAGCGGCGTCGGCGCGGGTGGGGGGCGCGCGGGCGCGGCGGTTCGGAGGGGCGGAGGACGAGGGGGGCGGGGTGGCGGCGTCGCTGCTGGGCGTGCGGGGGGAGGCGGAGGCGTCGCCGATCCTGGAGTTCATGGAGCGACGCATGAACCGCGAACACACGGTACGATGACACAAACGCTGGGGCGGCTTGTTGGCTCGCAGCATGTGCCTCACCGTGGGCACTCGCCGTGCTTGCTCGTTGCGACTCTTCTCCTCATGCCGCCATTTGCTGTCCCCTTTGCCCCCATCGTTCTGCTCGTCTTTTTCTCGCCCCTCCCGCCAGTTGCGGCGCCTGCTGGCGCGCCTCGAGTCGCTCAACGCCATTGTTGGCGGGCAGCTGCTGGGCGGCGCCGCGGCGGGCGGCGCAGCGGGCGGCATAGCGGGCGCGGTGGGGGATTATTTCTTCGGAGACGACTTCGACGGGCTCGTCGAGAGAATCTCCGCCGACGACGCCGTCAGGTGCGTGCGAGGCACGCTCGGAGGTGAGTGCGCCAGTCTTTCCGTGCGGTGATTAGGTTACCGTTATCGTTTCTGATACTCCTGTAACTTACCGCGACACTCTCTCTGCGCGCGCTTCCCCTCGTCCCCCCCACCCCCCACCCTTCCCCTTGCAGCACGCGCAACCCGCCCGCCTGCCCGGCGGCCGTCGAGGCGATGCTGGTGCGCGTGGTGACCGCTGCTGACGTGGCGCAGCGGGAGGCGGCGGGCGAGGGCGAGCACGGGGAGGGCGGCGGGCTGATGGACCCGTGCGCCATCTGCAAGGACGACTACGACGCGGGCGCCGTCACGCGGCAAATGCCGTGCCGCCACGTGTACCACTCCGATTGCCTCCTGCCGTGGCTGCAGCGCCACAACACGTGCCCCGTCTGCCGCTTCGAACTGCCCACCGCGGAGGCGCAGGACGCGCAGCAGCAGGGGCAGGGGCGGGGGGCGGAAGGAGCAGGGGGGACCGGCTCTGGCGGGGGAGCGGAAGCTGGTGGGGGAGGCGAGGGGGAGCGCGGCGACGTTGAGTGGCACGAGATGCAGTGGGAGGGCGGGGAGCGCGGCGGGGGGGAGTGGGGCGGCGGGGAGAGCAGGGACGGCGGCGGCGATGGGTGGGACAGCACGGAAAGCGGGGAGAGGGGCCGCGGGGGGTGGAGCGGCGGAGTGAGCGGGGAGGAGGGGGGCGGCAGCGGGTGGGAGGGCGGGGATAGCGAAAGGGAGAGCGTGGGGTTCCGGTGGGAGTGGACGGAGCGGGAGCGGGAGAGGGAGAGAGAGAGGGAGCGGGAGCGAGAGGAGTGGAGGGAGCGGGCGTGGGAGAGGTTGAGGGAGAGGGAGCGGGAAAGGGAGCGGGAGCGCGGGGGACTGGGAGTGCGGGGAGTGTTGGGGCAGTCAGCGGCGGCGCGCGCGCTCAACAGGAACAGCATCGGCGCCCTGGTCTCCCTGGGCGCCTCCAGCAGCGCGCGGGGCTCCCTTCCGCGGGAGGCGGGGCGCGCGGGGAGAGGGGCGGAGTGGGAAGGGCGGACGCGGTGGGGATGGGGGATAGGAGGGGATGCGGGTGGCAGTGGCGCGGGTGGCGGGTGGGGGAGGGGCGGGTTGGGAGGTGCGGGGTGGGGGCTGAGGGGAGGGCGCGAGAGGGGCGTGAGGGAGGAGAGGGAGTGGGAAAGGGAGATGCGACGAGAGGTGATCCGGAATTGGGGGAGGGAGGGGGAGAGGGGGAGTGAGAGGGATAGCGAGAGGGAAAGTGAGAGGGAGAGTGTGAGGGAGAGTGAGAGGGAGAGCGAGAGGGAGAGTGTGAGGGGGAGCGAGCGGGAGAGCGAGACAGAGAGGGAGCAGGGAATTGACGTGCAGTGGTGGGGCGGGCAGGGCTGGTCTAGGGGCGGCCGTGTGGCGTCTTCCTCCGCCCTGCGCCACCACCGCCACGCCTCCCCTGCGCGCCCCGCTTCCTCTGCTCTCACCGCGCCAGAGGCTCCCGCGGGAGCAGCAGCCGCTACTGGTGGCATGGCGCAGCGGACGCAGCAGCAGGCGCAGCAGGGGCGGGAGGGGCGGGAGGCGCAGCGAGTGAGTCCGCGGGCCGGTAGGCAAGCGGGGCGCGGGCTATGGGGTGGCGCGGGGCAGGGGCATGCATGGGCGGACGCTACAGGGGGGACGGAGAGGCGAGCGGGCAGCAGAGGAGGCATGGAGAGCAGCGTGAGTGAGTGGGGAAGGCCGTGGGAGGCGCAGCCGCAGAGCAGCGAGCAGGGCAGTGCGTGGTGGCGACAGGCCGGGGCAGAGGGCGCTGGTCACAGGTGGGCGGGCGGACGGAGTGGGGGCGGGGCGCAGGGGGCGCAGGGGGGAGATGAGCAGGGGGAGGAGGATGGGGTGTGGCAGGGAATGCCAAATGAGCAGATGAGCGGAGGGGAGGGCGTGGCGGAGGGTGTGGAGAGTGGGCAGGATGGGGATGGAAGTACAATGGGGCGATGGATGAGTGAGGGAGGTGGCAGTGGTGGGTGGGAGTGGGAAGCGGGCGGAATGAGTGCGGGCCCGTGGGGTATGGGAGGGGGGGAGGAGCAGAATGAGGAGCAGGCGGAGGAGGGGGAGGAGGAGGAGATTGAAGGAGATGACGTGGAGAGGGAGTGGCAAGTGGATGGGTCAGATGGAGGAGAGGGGCAGGAGGAGTGGGAGGAGGGCGAGGGAGATGAGGAGCAAGAGGAGGAGGATGTGGATGGGGAGGAATGTGAAGGGTATTATGATGAGGAGGAGGAGGAGGTGGAGGGGGAGGAGGAGAAGGATGGGGAGGGAGAGGAGGAGGAGCAAGGGGAGCAGGAGGATAAGGAGGATGAGGAGGATGACGATGGCAAGGAGCAACTGTTTTTTGACAGCAGTGCGGACCATGAGGTCATGCTGACGTCACACTATCATCATCAGCAGCTGCACTTGCCATCCCCCTCGCCCCCCCTCTCCCCGCCTCCAGCCCATGGCCGCCGTCCCTCCCCCCCCTCCCTCAGCCCTCGGCCCCCTCTCGCTGCATCCCCCCCCCATGCCTGGCACGCCCCCCCCCTCCCCTCGCTGCACACACACCTCTCCTCCTCCCCCCTGCGCTCCGCTCCTCCCCCGCGCCTGCCCTCCTCGCCCTCGTCCTTCTGTCCGCGCCCTCGACTCTCTCCCCGCTATGCCTCTTTACGCACACAGCCCCACCGACCGCCCTCACCACTCTGAAGTCCCTCCACTGACCTTGAAGCACAAGTGCAAACCATTGATGTTGCGCTAGTGCCGTGAGTCCATCCTTTCTCGTGTTCCCTTGCTCCTGTGGACCTCCGCTCCTCACCAAGTGCAAATGCTCTCACCCAGCAGCCCCTCGAGACCTTGTTGCTGCTGATGATACAGTAGTTTCTTCCGCTTTGTGGCAACGAGCTTTGGTGCAGAGGGGGCCTTAAATGATCCAGTGTATTGTGCACCAAATGGCTTTGTATGGATGATGGAATTGCAGAGTTAAGATCGGTAAAAATTTAGTGGATATAGATCCCCTTTTTTGTTTTCCACTGGAAAACGGGGTGGAATGAAGCTAGTAGGGCTGGGATGTGCCCAGAGCAGAGGCTTACTGAAGTCCTATGGGTATCTGCTTGCAGTGCTGAACCAAGAGACAAGATAACAAAGAAATCAATTTCACTCTTGTACAACTATTGCAAATGTATTCTCATTTATAATAACCAGCAAGCTTTGCTCAATAAGGCGAACCACGGGTTGAGGTGCGAGTCTGGCCTTTGTGAATCTGGATCGCCATCGGAGTATGTTTCGATCCAATCACGTTTGAGTCTAGCTGCCTGGGTAAGTTTGTGGTGCCCAGGTGCCGAGAAATGGCGGGAGTCCTATTCGCCCTTCCCTGCCCGCAGCTGGCGAAGGACCTTTCCCTGCTCGCTACTTGCCTGAAAAGGCACAAAATCTCGGAAACGTGGTAACCCTGCCAACCGATTGGCTCTAGTCTAGTGCCCTCTGGCTCCACCTTTCGTGATTCGCCAAAAGCCACCCTTGCCCCCGAAAAACGTTCCGGGCTGGCTGCAGGCAGCCCATTGCCCCTCCCTCTCATCCTAGCACTGGCCCCATCTTCTGACCCGCGAGCCGCCAGGAGGTACCAGCCCCGAGGGTCATTGGTTCGCATCGGCGCCCCGCAACCACCCAATTCTCCCCCCTCCGCTCACCTCCCCTGCGATCCGCCTTCTCCATGCATCTGCCCTGCGAATCCCCGTCGCGTGAGGGACGACTCTCACCCCGCTCGCCCACTCACCTTCGCCTCCTGACCCGTCAGGTCCTCGTCCCCTGCCCTCCTCGACAGCCGGGCCTCCTCGCATCGACCACATGGTGCACCGACAGCGTCGTCCGCTTGGCACTGATTGGATAATCAGCGCCACGTGTGACATCAGCAGTGACGGGGACAGAGCACGTGATGCGGCGAAGGCGGCAGGGACAGAGTCGAGTCGAGGAGGCATTGCGAGCGACAGTGATTGCCGAGAGCGGCACTGCCTCACGTGCTAGTCTCTCCGATCCTCCAATGACGATAAATGCGGATTAGGATGGAGGCTTTATCCAAGTGTCTGTCTACCTACATTCTGCTGTGCCTAGCGCAAGCTCTTCTCGAGCGACTAACAACAGACTTTCCGTGTCGTCGTACCAAGCAACGCGACTGTGCTGGCTGTCGTGCATCGAGGCAGAAGAGGAATCAAAAGCCATTAACACGAAATCCGTGGGAGAACGAGGCAGACGAGGACAGAATCAGACGCCAACCCGTCCCTCGAACTCGAACATTCCAACGCAACCGCAGCGACGCGAGCGCAGCGCTTCGGAGAGTAACTAAAGGAAGCCGTGGTAGTCCGCTAGAAGACGACGGGCGGCAAGCGAGGCAGCCATGGCTGACGTGTCGACAGCGGCGGTGGGGCACGATGCAGTGGGCGCGCCCGGCGAGTCGATGCGCGGCGTGACGGGCCGCGAGCCCATCTTCTCGCGCGACGTGGGGCTCGACGAGGGCGACGCGCTCTTCCCGCTGCCCGTCGACTCGGAGCACAAGGCCAAGCAGTTCAAACTCTTCAGGTGCGCCGCGCCTCGCGCTCCCAACTGTTGAAACTCTTCACATCGTGGTGTGCAGTCGCAGTCCGAAACTCGTCTCCTCCGCTTCTCCGCTCTCCGCTCCGCTCCGCGTCGGCTCTCCACCTTTTCTGACACCTCTGCGTTCTCCTGCGCGCAACCGCGCCCGCCGTGCCCTAATCTGCTCCGCGCACCAAGTCAAGTCCTCCCTCTGCCGAGCCCTTGCCCTCGTCCACTCCCTCCCTCGCGCAAGTGCGACTGCTGTCCTTTTTCCCCTTCACTCACCAAACCGTGTCTTTCCTTGCCCTGTCCTGCCCGCATGCCTCCCCCCGAGCAGCGCGTCGCGGCCGCACATGCGCGCATTCCACCTCTCGTGGCTCGCCTTCTTCCTCTCCTTCTGCTCCGCCTTCGCCGGTAACCCCGTCACTCCCTCACACCCACCAACCCTCACACCATCGCACCGCTAATCACTCGACTGCCCTTCACTCTCTCCTTGCTACCTCTCCCCCTACCCTTTCGAGTCTCACTCCGCGTGATGCTAATTCCCTCCCGCCCTGCCCTTCGCCATCCGTCCGCCATTCCGCCGCCAGCGCCGCCGCTGCTGCCGGTGATTCGCGACAACCTCGACCTCACCAAGGCCGAGATCGCCAACGCCGGTATCGCCACCGTCGTCGGCGCCGTCGTCAGCCGTCTCGTCATGGGTACGTCGTCAGCCGTCGGTTGTCGTGATTCTGCCGGTACAATGCTTCCTGGCTCATTCCGCTCCCCCTCCTTCCCCTCCTCCCTCCCCTTACTCTCCACCACTCCGCCTCACATCATAGCTCGGGTCCACGCGCCCCTCCCATCCCGCCATGCCCCATTCATTCTGCCTTCCGCATCCCCCCCCTTTCCTCCCGCTCTCACCCCTGCGCGCTTGTGGTTGCGCAGGCACGGTGTGCGACCTGGTGGGGCCGCGCTACGGCACGTCATTTCTGCTGATCGCGACGGTGCCGTGTGTGGCGGGCATGGCGGCCGTCACCAACGCTGCCGGCTTCATCACGTGCCGCTTCTTCATCGGCTTCGTCCTCGCCACCTTCGTCTCCTGCCAGGTGCGTCTCAAGCCACATGTGACTCGCCACACTTCCATCTCTCTCGTTCCTATGCTCGTCCCTTGATTCGGTTCGCTTCCTCTCCACCGCCCTGCCTCACCTCCTTGCACTCCTTGCCTCGTGCTCCCCCACTCCCCTCGCCCCCCCATCCCCATCCCCCCCCTGGCGTGCGCAGTACTGGATGTCGTCCATGTTCAACTCGCGCATCGTCGGTTTGGCCAACGGCACGGCGGCGGGGTGGGGCAACCTGGGCGGGGGAGCCATCCAGCTGATCATGCCGCTGCTCTACTCGCTCATCACGGACGCCATCCACGTGCCCGCCTTCACCGCGTGGCGCCTCTCCTTCTTCGTGCCCGCCACAGCGCAGACCTTCATGGGGCTGCTCGTGCTGGTGCTGGGGCAGGACTGCCCCGACGGGCAGTACCTGGACCTGGCGAGCAAGGGCGTGCGCAAGATGGACCAGCCGCTCAAGGTGCTCAGGACGGCCGTCACCAACTACCGCACGTGGGTCTTCGTGCTCACGTATGGCTACTGCTTCGGCGTGGAGCTGACAGTCGATAACGTGATCGCCGAGTATTACTACGACCGCTTCAACCTCAACCTCAACACCGCCGGGCTCATTGCCGCGTCCTTCGGCCTCATGAACATCTTCTCGCGCCCCAGCGGTGGGATTCTCTCTGACGTCGCCGCCCGCTGGTTCGGCATGCGCGGGCGGCTCTGGAACCTGTGGCTGCTGCAGACGCTGGGCGGCGTGTTTTGTCTGGTGCTGGGGTACATGAACTCGCTGTGGTCGTCCACGCTGGTGATGCTCATCTTCTCCTACTTCTGCCAGGCCGCCTGCGGCGCCACCTTCGGCATCATCCCGTTCGTGTCGCATCGCGCGCTGGGCATCGTGTCGGGGTTCACGGGGGCGGGCGGCAACGTGGGGTCGGCCATCACGCAGGCCATCTTCTTCAAGGGCGCGTACAGCACGGAGCAGGGGCTGACCTACATGGGCGTCATGATCATCTGCTGCACGCTGCCCGTGGTGGCCGTCTACTTCCCCCAGTGGGGCTCCATGCTCACGGCCCCCTCGTCAAAGCCGTCGGCCACAGAGGAGGCGTACTACGCGGGGGAGTATTCGGAGAAGGAGCAGGCCAAGGACATGCACTCCAGCGGACTCAAGGTCAGTCCCTCCCTGCTCTCAGTCATCCGCTGCTGCGCTCGTGCAGAAAATTTGCAGGTTGGTGTTGTGTTTCTGCACTGTTTGTTGCCCGCACACGCTTTCTGTCCCTCACCTCACTCTGCCTCAACTCTGTGTGCTGGTGTGCCTTGCCCGTCTGCCCTCCCCTGCCCTGCCCTGCCCTGGCATGGGTGCAGTTCGCGGAGAATGCCAAGTCAGAGAGGGGCCAGACGGTGCCCGTCACAGAGGACCTGCCGCGGTGAGGAGGTGCCTTGCAGCCTTGCAGGCGCACGCACAGAGGAGGGGTTGACACTGGCACCTCTTGGTGGCACGGCTTGCAGTCAGAGGTGCAGCTGCTGTGTGCACCGTACGATGGCCAGTAGCAACTAGGTGTTACAGTGTAATGTATTATACATTATTTATGCGAAGCATTGTCCAATGAGACAAAAGCATCTATCGAAGCAGCCTGAAAGACTAACACCAATTTGTTGTGCAGAGAAAAGCCCTTAGGATCTTTGCAGGACTAAACTCTGAGTAGGAATGATGTAATAGTGGAAGCGTTTAATAATGAGTCTGTGAACCACCTTGCGCTGGTATGTGAGGGCAAAGTAGATTGATTAAAGCAAAGAGATACTGGCTTTTATAAGAGTACAAGGGAATATGAAAGGTTATAGCTAACAACTGCTTTGCTGTTGCTGTTGCGGTTCGATACAGTGACGACTCGCAACTGCTCAATAACGAGTAAGTTGTTTGTCCTTGCTGTCGCGCTGTACTTGTCAGGTCAAAGGTCGCTGACCTTTGATTTTCGCGTAACCTCCAGCAGTTGCTCAACCTCCGAGAGTTGACTCGCCGATTCTTCGCTTGTGTTTCGCTACGTTTACGACTTAGTG